TAATAATGTACTTACGGTCAGGTTGAAGGCTGCTAAACACTGCTAATCTTGTCTTCTTTGAAGCAGAAACAGTATCTTGAAAAGCTCACCTTGTCTTCTTCTTTTCCTCTGCACCACACCAATAGTTAGGCTCAACTTTTTGTTCTTTCAACACTGAACTTTCAGGGGGTTCCCAGTCTGCAAGCTGCAGTAGCCAATCACATCCAGTATCTACATACCGTTACGCTAATACCTCATTGCATTTCCTTTTGTCTACTTCACACTTGTTGAAGCTTTAACCGACTCCAAAACCATTTCTACACCATGTTGTCAGCTTACGAGGCCTGATGAAGACAACGTACAGTTGTGAATGCTACAGTGATTTTGTGAAAATGTATTATTTGTCTAAAAACATGATTTTTTTCTGGTTACTCAGACTAGTATAGGCTGTAGATATGCCATACCAGCCCCCACAGAGGTAGTACCTAGACGGCTATTTGGATGTATAGGTACTCAGACAAGGCTGTTGTAGAGTTGTGAATGCTGCACTATTTTTGTGAATATTATTTGCCTTTTGAAGATAATTTAGAGTTTTGAATGCAATTATATTTGTGCAAACAGATTGTGTGTCTGAAAGCATGCATTTTCCTGGATCTGGGTACTCAGACAAGGCTGTAGATATACCACAGAATATACCAATACAATCTCTACACAATGTTCTCAGTTTAGGGAAGCATGATGAAGACAGTTAATAGTTGTGAATGCTACACTATTTTGGTGAAAATAGATAGCCTAATTAATCTCGTCTGAAAACATGAATTTCCTCAATCTGGGTACTCAGAATAGGCTGTAGCTGTACCATAAAGTATTCAGACCCCTTGACCCTTTCCAAATTTTGTTACTTTACAGCATTATTCCAAAGTCCATTGAATTGTTTTTTCCCCCTCATCAATACACAACACCCCATAATGACAAAGCAAAAACAGGTTTTCCGAAATGTTTGCACATGTATTAAAAATACAAAACTGAAATATCACAGTTACATAAGTATTCCGACCCTTTACTCAGTACTTTGTTGAAGCATCTTTGGCAGCGATTACAGCCTCGAGTCTTCTTGGGTATGACGCTACAAGCTTGGCACACCTGTATTTGGGGAGTTTCTCCCATTCTTCTTTGCAGATCCTCTCAAGCTCCGTCAGGTTGGATGGGGAGTGTCGCTGCACAGCTATTTTCAGGTCTCTCCAGAGATGTTCGATTGGGTTCAAGTCCAGGCTATGGCTGGGCCACTCAAGGACATTCAGAGACTGGTCCCGAAGTCACTCCTGCTTTGTCTTGGCTGTGTGCTTAGGGTCGTTGTCCTGTTGGAAGGTGAACCTTCGCCCCAGTCTGAGGTCCTGAGCGCTCTGGAGCAGGTTTTCATCAAGGATCTCTCTGTACTTTGCTCAATTTATCTTTCCCTCGATCCTGACTAGTCTCCCAGTCCCTGCCGCTGAAAAACATCTCCACAGCATGATGCTGCCATCACCATGCTTCACCGTATGGATGGTATTGGCCAGGTGATGAGCGGTGCCTGATTTTCTCCAGACGTGACACTTGGTATTCAGGCCAAAGAGTTCCTTCTTGGTTTAATCAGACCAGAGAATGTTGTTTCTCATGGTCTGAGAGTCCTTTAGGTGCCTTTTGGCAAACTCCAAGCGGGCTGTAATGTGCCTTTTACTGAGGAGTGGCTTCCGTCTGGCCACTCTACCATAAAGGCCTGATTGGTGGAGTGCTGCAGAGATGGTTGTCCTTCTGGAAGGTTCTCCCATCTCCACAGAGGAACTGGAGCTCTGTCAGAGTGATCATCAGGTTCTTGCTCACCTCCCTGACCAATGCCCTTCTCCCCCGATTGCTCAGTTTGGCCGGGCGGCCAGCTCTAGAAAGAGTCTTGGTGGTTCCAAACTTCTTCCATTTAAGAATGATGGAGGCCACTGTGTTTTTGGGGACCTTCAATGCTGCAGAAATGTTTTGGTACCCTTCCCCAGATCTGTGCCTCGACACAATCCTGTCTCGGAGCTCTACCGATAATTCCTTCGACCTCATGGCTTGGTTTTTGCTCTGACATGCACTGTCAACTGTGGGACCTTATATAGACAGGTGTGTGCCTTTCCAAATCATGTCCAATCAATTGAATTGACCACAGGTGGACTCCAATCAAGTTGTAGAAACATCTCAAGGATGATCAATGGAAACAGGATGCACCCGAGTTGAATTTCGAGTCTCATAATAAAGGATCTGAACACTTATGTAAATACGTATATATATATATATATATATATATATATATATATATATATATATATATATTAGCAAACATTTCTAAAAACCTGTTTTCGCTTTGTCATTATGGGGTATTGTGTGTAGATTGATGAGGGGAAAAAAATAATTGAATCCATTTTAGAATAAGGCTGTAATGTAACAAAATGTGGATAAAGTGAAGGGGTCTGAATACTTTCCGAATGTACTGTATGTTGCAAGCCATCCATGCAAGTACATGACTTGAAATATTTTTTCCTGTCTTCTCTGAGATTTAGTGGTTATTTAGAAAAAAAATACATTGAGAAACAAACATTCTGAGCCAGTGCTAGAGGTAGGTTTAGAAGTGTTGCAAAAACGCAACATTGGGCTTAAAGGTTTGCCAAACTGAGACATAGGGCCACATTCATATATTGATAGAAGTTAGAAAGATAGTTCTTCAAAATTCTGCAAATATGGAAAACCAAATACTTCAAGAGTAACTTTGAAGTCCCCTCTACACATCAAATGAACAAAAAAATATAACAAATGTTTTGTGGTTTATGCGATCAGAATACTACCATTGACGACCATTCATTTTATGGTAAAGAAGTAAAATAGGAGGTTATCTCTCCAAATGAAGCCAGAAAGAACATCCAAATATTACTAAACTGAGTTAGATGTTCTCTAGACATAGAAAAACCACAAAATACTTTATCCTTTCAATATATGTTTTTGATAGCGAAACACAAAAATGTTGATTGGTCGAGTTGATCAATGCGCTATTTCAGACAAAATAGGACTTCATTTCAGATTTATATATGTTAGACAATATTTTCCATCACATGTCAATGCATTTTATCCATTTTGATGTGGTTATAATAGAATTTCACCGTTTTCTGACCACACATTCTTTCTACCGTTGAAGCCCAATGTTGCATTTTTGCAAGATTTCCAGAAATAATGTATTATTATTGCCCTATTATTTCTGAAGGGTAATACAAAAAAAGGCTCATTTAGATCTATGCTTGGGTCTCACAGGGTTAAACAAAGAATTGAGACAACAAATAAACAGAAGAAAAAATTATAATAATAAGTGCTCTGTACATGTGCCTGACTGTCTGTGGGTGATTGAATGACAAATTAAAGAGGTTTTGAAAAGGCATGTCAAAGTATGGAAGTGGATTCATCATCTTTACTTTTAAATATAGTGTATCATAAAAGAGAGAACAAACATGCCAAAGATAAACTGTACGGAATTGTTACTAAACATCACAGTATATGACTCAGTTGCACTGGTTTCCTTTGACGAGGAGGAATGTTCCAGTAGCCACCCCCAGCAGTCCCAGAGTCAGGGCCACTACAAAGAATACAGCAGGACCAGCACTGGACCCACTCATCTCACTGCTCCTATTGTAGGTGTAATTCCAGTGTTGGCCTGCAGGGCGCGGGAGTGAGATGCTCTTGGGCTGGGCTGGAATGCTCCTGTTCAGACAAAGTTACTGTATATCTAATCAAATAAAAATACACAGAGGAGGGATTCAACAAACACTCTAGGAGATGCGCCTGACTTTCCTGTCTGAATGGCGGTGTTCTTTAGGACTCAGGTGCATGTACTGTACATGCTGTCAAGTCTGAGCTAGGGTGCGACCCAGTTAGATCTGTGCAGTTCACCTAGTTACCAGATAGTTCTTAACTGAGTTTACAAAATATTAGGAACACCTTCCTCATATTGAGTTGCACCCCCACCCCTCCCTTTTGCCCTCAGAACAGGCCCAATTCGTCGGGCATGAACTCTACAAGGTGTCGAAAGCGTTCCACAGGGATGCTGGCCCATGTTGACTCCAATGCTTCCCACAGTTGTGTCAAGTTGGCTGGATGTCCTTTGGGTGGTGGACCATTCTTGACACAAACCGGTGCACCTGGCACCTACTACCATACCCAGTTCAAAGGCACTTCAATATTTTGTCTTGCCCATTCACCCTCTGAATGTCACAAATACACAATCCATGTCTTAATTGTCTCAAGGCTTAAAAATCCTTCTTTAACTTGTCTCCTCCCCTTCATCTACACTGATCGAAGTGGATTTAACAAGTGACATCAATAAGGGATCATAGCTTTCACCTGGATTCACCTGGTCAGTCAATGCCATGGAAAGAGCAGGTGTTCTTAATGTGTTGTACACTCAGTGTATATAGAGGGTGCAACTCTATTTATTTGTATAGCCAACAAGTCATAAACCCCGCTTATTTCTACAATTGCTATTAGGGCTCGATTCAATCCATAACAGCAAAGTTCAGCGCTAAAGCGCAATTGACATTTAAAGGCAAAGTTCCCGCGTTCGGGATGACTGCATTCACATTAAACGCTGCATATGTCGGCTCAATCGGAAATTACTGTTACATTTCAAGGGCGCTATAGTGCTGAACTTTGGCAATACAGATTGAATAGAGCCCTTCAAATCAGATTTTAAACCTAACCCTAACATTAAAGGTCCAACTGCAGCAACCTTTAACAATGAAATGCCTTACTGTGATTGTTTTCAATGAAAATGGTCCAAAATAAACAAAAGTTGATTCTTAGAAAATAGCAATTTGGTCTATTAAATAATATACCGCCTGGTGATGTCACCAAACTCCATCCCACCAAAACAGGTATTTTCAAACAGCTCTTACTCTAAAAGGGCATTATCCTGATTTTCACAATTTCACAGTATTATTCTAAAGTCATAGTGTGGAAATATAAATATGATAGCTACCTATGGATGCTTTGAGTCAGGTGATACTGAGGTAGTGGTGGTGATGGATGGGAATGAAGCTGGCTATGCTGATTTCAAGGAAGGAAAGAGGGTGTGGACGGTGCCTAATGTTCCACTAAGTAAAACATTCCATTCACTGATGTCTTATGAATATGCTAAATTGACTCTAATTTGGTGCATGGAGCGTATGAAATTTAGAAAAGGTGCAGTACCCAGCATACCACAAGTCAAAGGTAAGTCAGATTCTTTATTGGAATGTCTGCATAAGCCAGTAAAAAACTATGCATAAATGTAGATGTATTTTACTGTATACTTCTTACCTGGAAAAGTGTCTTAGTCTGAGGTTGGAGTTGCCTGACACCTGTAAAAGCAATACCCTCCAGAGTGGGCGGGGAGCCTTTTAGTCTAGTGGACAGACAATGGACTACTGAATATTAGACCAGATCCTGAATGGGTTTGGTCCATCTTACTAGTGAAGTATTATTTGGTCCGTGTAACAAGTGGAGTCTTTTTCTATGTTCTGGTTTCTATTTGCCCCCCAGAGCACCATCTACCCCAGGGATGAGGAGGAGCTGGGGGTGGAGAACACGCTCATCTACTCTGTGAATCATTTCTTTCCCTCGTCTGTCAAAGTCAACTGGACCAATAATAGCCTGGAGGTGACTGAGGGAGCGTCTCTCAGTTGGTGCAATCTTACTAAAGATGGAACGTTCCACCAGTTCTCCACCCTGAGTTTCACCCCACAGAAGGGTGACTTCTACGCCTGCACTGTGGCGCACACGGCCCTGAAGGACCCCAAAACTAGGTTCTGGGGTGTGGGGAAATTCTGAATAGTATACTTTAGATATTTCAGTAATATGTCTACTACAGTGTGTGATTACTGGATGTTCTCTCTGACTAATCTCTCATGGTGTGTTTTACTGGCACCTCTTTCCTCCTGTCCCCAAGAGCCTGAGTTCAGTGAGGTAAGTGCGTCCAGTGCTGATCCTGCTGTATTCTGTGGAGTGGGCCTGGCTCTGGGACTGCTGGGGGTGGCTACCGGAACATTCCTCATCATCAAAGGAAACCAGTGCAATTGAGAACCAGAGATACAGAATAGAGGCAAAAGTGACATTGTAAAGGGCTGAAATGGGGTAATGTGGATAATGTAGGTAATGTGGGCAATTGGGTAATGGGGATAATGTGGGTAATGGGATAATGTGGACAATGGGGTAATATAGATAATGGGGGTAATTTGGGAAATGTGGGTAATATAGGTAATGGGTAATGTGGGTAATGCAGTAAATTGTAATAACTCCTTGTTTCACTGTACTGACATCATGGAAAACATTCACAATTACAGAGGTGTAACAATTAATGCTTGTCAGATATGTGCTAGTTTCCACTAAAATCACTAAGTTTGCATAGCTTTTGTTTTCTGCTGCATCAATTTTTAGCAAAAATAAATAAATCACTAAAGTTGGTTTTAATTACCTACCCATTAATGTGCACTGTAGAAAACATATTTTCACTCAATGTTTTTGCTAGCACTTACCCCAAAACAAAGTGTCTGGGTTAACTTGACACTTGTGTAGAATTGACCAAAACAGAACAGATGCTTCAACCTCACTGACTGGTCTACCATTGGGGTTTCATCCCAGATAAGGAACAAACACATATGTACAACCTCCCGAGTGGCGCAGTGGTCTAAGGCACTGCATTGCAGTGCTAGCTGTGCCACTAGAGATCCTGGTTCGAATCCAGGCTCTGTCGTAGTTGGACGCGACCGTGAGACCCATGGGACGATGCACAATTGGTCCAGGGTAGGGGAGGGAATGGCCGGCAGGGATGTAGCTCAGTTGGTAGAGCATGACATTTGCAACGCCAGAGTTGTGGGTTCGATTTCCCACGGGGGGCCAGTATGAAAAAAGATTATACAGTGGGGAAAAAAAGTATTTAGTCAGCCACCAATTGTGCAAGTTCTCCCACTTAAAAAGATGAGAGAGGCCTGTAATTTTCATCATAGGTACACGTCAACTATGACAGACAAAATGAGAATTCTTTTTCCAGAAAATTACATTGTAGGATTTTTAATGAATTTATTTGCAAATTATGGTGGAAAATAAGTATTTGGTCAATAACAAAAGTTTCTCAATATATTGTTATATACCCTTTGTTGGCAATGACACAGGTCAAACGTTTTCTGTAAGTCTTCACAAGGTTTTCACACACTGTTGCTGGTATTTTGGCCCATTCCTCCATGCAGATCTCTTCTAGAGCAGTGATGTTTTGGGGCTGTCGCTGGGCAACACGGACTTTCAACTTCCTCCAAAGATTTTCTATGGGGTTGAGATCTGGAGACTGGCTAGGCCACTCCAGGACCTTGAAATGCTTCTTACGAAGCCACTCCTTCGTTGCCCGGGCGGTGTGTTTGGGATCATTGTCATGCTGAAAGACCCAGCCACGTTTCATCTTCAATGCCCTTGCTGATGGAAGGAGGTTTTCACTCAAAATCTCACGATACATGGCCCCATTCATTCTTTCCTTTACACGGATCAGTCGTCCTGGTCCCTTTGCAGAAAAACAGCCCCAAAGCATGATGTTTCCACCCCCATGCTTCACAGTAGGTATGGTGTTCTTTGGATGCAACTCAGCATTCTTTGTCCTCCAAACACGACGAGTTGAGTTTTTACCAAAAAGTTATATTTTGGTTTCATCTGACCATATGACATTCTCCCAATCCTCTTCTGGATCATCCAAATGCACTCTAGCAAACGTCAGATGGGCCTGGACATGTACTGGCTTAAGCAGGGGGACACGTCTGGCACTGCAGGATTTGAGTCCCTGGCGGCGTAGTGTGTTACTGATGGTAGGCTTTGTTACTTTGGTCCCAGCTCTCTGCAGGTCATTCACTAGGTCCCCCCGTGTGGTTCTGGGATTTTTGCTCACCGTTCTTGTGATCATTTTGACCCCACGGGGTGAGATCTTGCGTGGAGCCCCAGATCGAGGGAGATTATCAGTGGTCTTGTATGTCTTCCATTTCCTAATAATTGCTCCCACAGTTGATTTCTTCAAACCAAGCTGCTTACCTATTGCAGATTCAGTCTTCCCAGCCTGGTGCAGGTCTACAATTTTGTTTCTGGTGTCCTTTGACAGCTCTTTGGTCTTGGCCATAGTGGAGTTTGGAGTGTGACTGTTTGAGGTTGTGGACAGGTGTCTTTTATACTGATAACAAGTTCAAACAGGTGCCATTAATACAGGTAACGAGTGGAGGACAGAGGAGCTTCTTAAAGAAGAAGTTACAGGTCTGTGAGAGCCAGAAATCTTGCTTGTTTGTAGGTGACCAAATACTTATTTTCCACCATAATTTGCAAATAAATTCATTAAAAATCCTACAATGTGATTTTCTGGATTTTTTTTCCTCAATTTGTCTGTCATAGTTGACGTGTACCTATGATGAAAATTACAGGCCTCTCTCATCTTTTTAAGTGGGAGAACTTGCACAATTGGTGGCTGACTAAATACACTGCTCAAAAAAATAAAGGGAACACTTAAACAACACAATGTAACTCCAAGTCAATCACACTTCTGTGAAATCAAACTGTCCACTTAGGAAGCAACACTGATTGACAATAAATTCCACATGCTGTTGTGCAAATGGAATAGACAACAGGTGGAAATTATAGGCAATTAGCAAGACACCCTCAATAAAGAAGTGGTTCTGCAGGTGGTGACCACAGACCACTTCTCAGTTCCTATGCTTCCTGGCTGATGTTTTGGTCACTTTTGAATGCTGGCGGTGCTTTCACTCTAGTGGTAGCATGAGACAGAGTCTACAACCCACACAAGTGGCTCAGGTAGTGCAGCTTATCCAGGATGGCACATCAATGCGAGCTGTGGCAAGAAGGTTTGCTGTGTCTGTAAGCGTAGTGTCCAGAGCATGGAGGCGCTACCAGGAGACAGGCCAGTACATCAGGAGACGTGGAGGAGGCCGTAGGAGGGCAACAACCCAGCAGCAGGACCGCTACCTCCGCCTTTGTGCACGGAGAAGCAGAAGGAGCACTGCCAGAGCCCTGCAAAATGACCTCCAGCAGGCCACAAATGTGCATGCGTCTGCTCAAACGGTCAGAAACAGACTCCATGAGGGTGGTATGAGGGCCCGACGTCCACAGGTGGGGGTTGTGCTTACAGCCCAACACCGTGCAGGACATTTGGCATTTGCCAGAGAACACCAAGATTGGCAAATTCGCCACTGGCGCCCTGTGCTCTTCACAGATGAAAGCAGGTTCACACTGAGCACATGTGACAGACTTGACAGAGTCTGGAGACGCCGTGGACAACGTTCTGCTGTCTGCAACATCCTCCAGCATGACCGGTTTGGCGGTGGGTCAGTCATGGTGTGGGGTGGCATTTCTTTGGGGGGCCGCACAGCCCTCCATGTGCTCGCCAGAGGTAGCCTGACTGCCATTAGGTACCGAGATGAGATCCTCAGACACCTTGTGAGACCATATGCTGGTGCGGTTGGCCCTGGGTTCCTCCTAATGCAAGACAATGCTAGACCTCATGTGGCTGGAGTGTATCAGCAGTTCCTGCAAGAGGAAGGCATTGATGCTATGGACTGGCCCGCCCGTTCCCCAGACCTGAATCCAATTGAGCACATCTGGGACATCATGTCTCGCTCCATCCACCAACGCCACGTTGCACCACAGACTGTCCAGGAGTGGGCGGATGCTTTAGTCCAGGTCTGGGAGGAGATCCCTCAGGAGACCATCCGCCACCTCATCAGGAGCATGCCCAGGCATTGTAGGGAGGTCATACAGGCATGTGGAGGCCACACACACTACTGAGCCTCATTTTGACTTGTTTTAAGGACATTACATCAAAGTTGGATCAGCCTGTAGTGTGGTTTTCCACTTTAATTTTGAGGGTGACTCCAAATCCAGACCTCCATGGGTTGATACATTTGATTTCCATTGATAATTTTTGTGTGATTTTGTTGTCAGCACATTCAACTATGTAAAGAAAAAAGTATTTAATAAGATTATTTCATTCATTCAGATCTAGGATGTGTTGTTTAAGTGTTCCCTTTATTTTTTTGAGCAGTGTACTTTTTTCCCCCACTGTATATATATAATGTATGCACTCACTTACTGTAAGTTGCTCTGGATAAGAGCGTCTGCTAAATGACTAAAATGTAAATGTGCAAAGCAGTGCAATGTTTGCCTAAGTACAATGTAATTTATAGGTGTTACACAGTTTTTCTCTAGTTAAAGTAAAGTGTGAGTTATGGGGTACCATAAAAAAAGGACACAATATTTTTAAATGATGCCCAACCAGTCAATTAAAAAACAAGTCAGTATGTTGCAGTCACACAGTAAACAGTTGCAAAATAAAACATATGATGCTGTTCTTCACCTGCACTGGAGTGGTTGGAGTTTTAAAGCTGCCAATGCTTCTGTGTTTTTTAATAATCCGTTTCCTCATTCAGTTTCCTCATTACTAGCTCGTGATAGAACTGTTTTAACTCTGGGACGTAAACATGTCTGTGCTGAAGTTCTCCTCCATACACCTGGTGCTCCTCTTCTCTCTGTCTGAAGTGTGTGAGTATAGACATTTAAGATAGATTTCTTTGCTTATTATTTATTACAGGTAGTGTGTGCAAATCCAAGTTATATTGGAGTGCTAACACAAGCAGGAGTACAGTACATGTAACATTTAAGGCAATATCAATCCTGCATAATCAGAACTCTGATTAAGATATTGTAAAATAAGAAAAATACAGTATGTCTCACCATAAAAGAGAAAAATCTGAATATCACTTTGTTTTCAATGACTTTCTCTTCTTTACTCTCTTTTCAAAGTGTATTCATCAGATGGAGATTTCACACACTATAATGCTAGGTGTGTGTTCAGAGAAGTACATGATATTGAGTATATTGAAGAGTTTCATTTCAACAAGGTGATGATGGCATGGTACAACAGCACCATGGATAAATGGACAGGATACACACCCTATGGACTGCGTCTTGCGAACAGTTTTAATGGAGATATTTATGACCATCTTGCAAGAAGAGCAGCAATGGATATTTTGTGTGTGGCCAATGCTGATTTACTCTATGGCTACCTACATAATTATACATGTAATTACAAATCCCTGATACAATCTAGAAAAGGAGATTGACTTGTAGAGGAAATCCCTCATTTGACTATTTATTATACACTTCATAACATGTCAAATAATAATTAAGTGATAATTCTATCATATTTGTGTTGGTTAAAAGATCAAATCTACATACTTTAAAATGGGAATTATTTTTAAACAAAGTAATATAATTTAGGAAGTGTATATTCAGCCGACAGACCAAATACGTAAGGTTAGACACATAGGGATAGAAATGAGTTAAGGTTACTATTTATGTTGGTTTTAGGGACGAGGGTTAGGTTAAGAGGTTGGGTTAGGGTTATGGAAAGGCTTAGATTAGCATTGGGTTAGCGTACCGCCCACCGCCATTCAAAATCTGACCAGTGAATATACAATACCTGTAATTTACTATTCTTAATTCCTTTGTCTATTTGATTATGGTTATGATGTTTAGATTTATCAATTGAATTCCTCCTTATTGCATCACTCATTCAATGCCCTCCTCTGCAGTTGAGCCCTACGTCAGGCTGAGGTCAGTGGAGCCGTTCAATACCAGACACTCTAGCATGCTCGTGTGCAGTGCCTACGACTTCTACCCCAAACCCATCAGAGTGACGTGGCTGCAGAACGGACAGGAAGTGACCTCAGATGTGACCTCCACAGAGGAGCTGGCCAATGGGGACTGGACCTACCAGATCCACTCGCACCTGGAGTACACGCCCACACCTGGAGAGAAAATCACCTGTATGGTAGAGCACTTCAGCCTCACTGAGCCCAAACTGTACGAATTGGCTAAGGTTGTGTGAGTGGGCTAAGGGTGTGTGAGTGGGGTAAGAGACTGTGGGTGGAAGAAGGTGCAAGCTGTTGTGAGGCCTTGGCTTCCTTTTTAGCCCTCAGCCAACTGGGGGTTTGTTCACCATCAATCTGCCACAATAATTATATTCGGTTCAAGGATTATGTAAATTCAATTTAAAGTTAGTTATGACTGTTGTATGTTGATTCAAACTAAGAGGGATGGATGAAGTTGAAAAGGGATGAATCCCATTCTATTAGAATAATGATTAATGAATCAAGAGGGTTGTTGTAAGAGTGTGTGAATCAAGTAACACTGGTTACAGGGTTTTATGCCTGTATAATTGCAGACTCCTCCATCCCCGAGTCTGAGAGGAATAAGATGGTGATCGGGGCCTGTGGGCTGCTGCTGGGGGTGGTCTTTATAGCAGCTGGACTGATCTACTACAGGAAGAAATCTACTGGTGAGGATCCACAGGCCTCAGCACATCTATGTTATAGAAGTCTAGGTCAAACCATCCTCACATAGACATCAGACACTGTTTAAATCCACTGTTATACTGCTGATCTATACCATGCACATTGTACATTATATAATATAATAATATAATATGCCATTTAGCAGACACTTTTATCCAAAGCGACTTACAGTCATGCGTGCATACATTTTTGTGTATGGGTGGTCCAGGGGATCGAACCCACTACCCTGGCGTTACAAGCGCGTCCTCTACCAGCTAAGCTACAATTGTACATTATAATATGAAATGTTACATTATTAAGGCACTGTCTGCATTATAACAGCAACAAATGTTGGTTTCTCTCTCAACAGGGCTGATGCTGGTGCCAACAAGTTATGATAGGGGTCAGTCTAGTGGTTAAAACATTTTACGTTTGGAGTTCAAAGCTCAACAAGAGTTTGCAATCTGATGTCTAAGGGTCATTATATTAAATGGGAACACATTTATTTAAACTACAGTATATTGATCTCTTTTATGAATTGTATGTATTTTCCCTCCATCTTGTGCTAACATCAGTTATTTCCAAGTCTTGCAAATCATAGTGTATATTTTTTTTCTAACAGATTGTCAGTTGGGTTTGCTCTCTGCAAGGTTTTGTATATCTTACTTATCATATGAACATAACTTTATGTATCAAATAAAATTCCCTCAAGTTTTCTCATTTTAAATGATAGAGAATACCTTTTGTTAAAGTACTAACAACCTTGGTGAAAATGTTTCTCACCTCTCTTTGCTCTTGAGAAGAATAAAACAATATGTCAACTTATTATCATCACTGCTTCAGTGTCTCCTTGTATGTTTACCACTCTACCATAAAATGAAGAAATGTTAGTTCAGAGGCCTGGGGGGTTGGTTTAGTCTAGTCGACAACCTTGTTAATAAAAACCTTTTAATCAAAGCAATGAGACAAAATAAACATACACAGAAGAAAACACACAAGTAACAATGGGTGTGCTCTGAACATACGTACATGTGTGTGATTGAATTACAAATGTAAAAGGTTTTGAAAGGGTATGTCAGATATAAAGTATGGAAGTGAATTCATCATCTTTACTTGACTTTTAAATATAGTAAGTTATAGAAGAACAAACAAAGAATGTGTGAAAAAGTAAAGATGATCCTTGCTGAAGATATCATATAGAAGTATGATGAGATACACTATGCAAAATTGTTCAGTGAACATTATAGTATATGCCTTAGTTGCACTGGCTTCCATTGATGAGGAGGAATGTTTCGGTAGCCACCCCCAGCAGCCCCAGAGTCAGGCCCACTCCAGAGAATACAGCAGGACCAGCACTGGACCCACTCAGCTTAGGTTCTGGAGGATAGGAGTAGGACACATTTCATCCATGTTGTGTTTCAGAGAGGGGAAAACAATGTAGTAAGTATCTTGGCTTTCACAATGTTATGTGTGTAGGTGTGTTCTGTTTTTGATAGATGGCATAGATTTCTGTATGACATGGAATTACAAGAGAACCTTAACTGATTGTAATTGATACGCTAAAAAGTAATGATGTCAATACAAGGTATTCCACCATGGTGAGATCACGTCACAGACAGATACACTTGTTTTCAGGAGCAGTCACTGTGGTGGGCCTGAAACCAACCTCGCCTCCTTTGTGCACCGGCAACACAACTTGCTCACCTCTATGTGTATCAATGGAAGTGTCCAACCAAAGAAAACTGGCTTGTAGGTTGGTATACAGTTCTACCAGTCAGACTAGGTGACATATTTGTCCATGATTGAAACAGATAACTCAGTGAGAAATGCAGTTCCCTGTCACAACTGGCAGCACTACCGTAGCTTGCCTAATTCATCAGACTGTGATACTTTGGTTATACAGTCTGAAAAAAAATATTGAACGTTTCCTCTCACGACCCCTACAAGCAAGAACATTCAATGAAATCCAATTTGAACTCACTCTACCGGTTGTCTGTGCGGTTGGTCCTTTTGTCTCTTGAAAGTTGAGAAAAAATATCCCAAGTAAAGTATTATCAAACGGACTTTTCAAAATGTGATTTCTATCGCCTGGCAAAACCATGTAAACACCTGCAAGACTTCAGTTAGAATGCAAGCATCGTTTGCATGTACTTATGTCTTTGTGTGCGTGTCTCAGGTGATGAACAAACAAATCTGAATGGTGGCGTTGTTTAGGACTCAGGTGCATGTACATGCTGTCAAGTCTAAACTAGGGTACGGCCCAGTTAACTCTGTGAGGTTCACCTAGTTATCAGATAGTTCTTAATGCAAAATGAATAATTGTATGACTGCTGAATAGAAGAGAGCTTACATACTCGCATCCATTGACTTGGAGCAGGTGAAGTGTTGCTGGAAGGGCCACCATGTCTTTTCTACCTAGCTACTCTGCTGTCACAACAGATGTAATATTTCTTATTGGTTCTTGATAAGAACCAGTTAAGTACAGCACTGGTTCATCCTTTTTAGAGCTTCCCCTCAGTCTGAGTGAGTTCAATCCTACAGTACTCTCTCAAACACACAGATGAGTTTATGATTAGAGAGCCTGGAGATGAACTACTCTGTGATTATACTGATTCTAACTGGAACCGTTTTCACCTCGGCACAACGTAAGAGCTCTTGATCTCAGTTATCCTTTTAAATACGGTTTGATTATTAATGTCATGTGCGAGGAATCAGGTAAACTGTCAATATAACCTGGGCCTCTGCATTGCCCTACTGTGCAATACAAGCCTTTTAGCTTCAGTGTGCAGTCATTTCTCTAGACCATTATTTTCCCTATGGAGTACGGACCAGATGGATTCATTTGACATTTCAGTTCAACATGAATTGATGGCTACCTTTAGATGCTTTGAGTCAGGTGATACTGAGGTGGTGGTGGTGATAGATGGGGATGAAGTCATCTAAGCTGATTTCAAGGAAGGAGAGGCAGAGTGGACGGTGCCTAAAGTTACACCGTCGCCAACTATAACAATCCATATATTGACATTTTATGAATATGCTAAACTGTCTAGAATTTGGTGCATGCAACGTATGGGATGGGGAAAAAGTGCAGTACCCAGCATACCACAAGTCAAAGGTAAGTCAGATTCTTTATTAGATTGTCTACATAAGCCAGTAAAAAACTATGCATAAATGTAGATGTATTTTATTGTATACCTCTTACCTGGAAGAGTGTGTTAGTCTGAGGTTGGAGTTGCCTGACACCTGTAAAAGCAATGCCCTCTAGAGTGGGTGATGAGCCTTTTAGTGTAGCGGACAGACAGTGGAATACTGAATATCCTGAATGGGTTTGGTCCATCTTACTGTCACTGGTGGAGTCTCTTTCTATTTTCTGGTTTCTATTTGCCCCCAAGATGCCCCTGAGAGCACCATCTACCCCAGGGATGAGGAGGAGTTGGGGGTGGAGAACACGCTCATCTGCTTTCTGAATCATTTCAGAAAGCAGAGTCAATTGGACCAATAATGGCCTGGAGGTGACTGAGGGAGCGTATCTCAGTCGGTACTATTCTAATAAAGATGGAACGTTCCACCAGTTCTCCACCCTGAGTTTCACCCCACAGGAGGGGGACGTCTACGCCTGCACTGTGGAGCACACAGCCCTGAAGGACCCCAAAACCAGGTTCTGGGGTGAGGGGAAATTCGTAATAGTATACTTTAGATATTTCAGTAATATGTCTACTACAGTGTGTGATTACTGAATGTTCTGTCTCTGTCTAATCGCTCATGGTGTGTCTTACTGGTTAACCCTAACTGATGGCACTTCTGTCCTTCTGTCCCCAAGAGCCTGAGGTCAGTGAGATGAGTGGGTCCAGTGCTGGTCCTGCTGTATTCTGTGGAGTGGGTCTGACTCTGGGGCTGCTGGGGGTGGCTACCGGAACATTCCTCATCATCAAAGGAAACCAGTGCAATTGAGAACCAGAGATATAGAATAGAGGTGAAAGTGACATGGTAAAGGGCTGACATGGGGGTAATGTGGGTAATGTGGGTAATGTAGATAATGGGGTAATGTGGGTAGTGTGGGTAATGGGTAATGGGTAATGGGGGTAATGTGGGTAATATCGGTAATGGGGGTAATGTGTAGTCCAGGGTTGTCAGCACTACCACTAGATCAGACACCAGCACAACATTTTATTTTTGGTTGGTTGTTTGATATTGCCACAAAATTCAGTGGGGTATCCCAGAGTGGGGCTTAAACCCAGATCCAGTGACTGTCAAGCCAAAATTGTATCCTCTTGATGAGGTTGCTTGGTGTTGAGTTAAAGTCGCTACAAAATGTTTTATTGTAAAGTGTATTTTAAAAACGTGAATGCTTTTTACATAGAGTTTGGGTAACGCTGTACAGTGTCATTATTATTATAACAGGTTATTTACATCTGTAAATACAATGTAAAAAGTATTGTAATAAATGGTAATAACTCCTTGTTTCACTGTACTGACATCATGGAAAACATTCACAATTACAGAGGTGTAACGATGAATGCTTGTTACAAATGTGCTAGTTTCCACTAAACTGTCTAACTTTACATTGCTTTTTGTTTTCAGCTACATCCATTAAAGGCAATATGTTGTAGTCACACAGTAAACAGCTGCAAAATAACATGTACCTACCTGCTGGAAACATATGATGCTGTTCTTCACCTGCACTGGAGTGGTTGGAGTTTTAAAGCTGCCAATGCTTCTGTGTTTTTTAAAATCTGTTTCCTCATTCAGTTTCCTCATTGCTAGCTCATGATATACCTGTTTTAACTCTGAGATGTAAACATGTCTGTGCTGAATTTCTCCTACATCAACAGTGAATTCAGTGGGTTAGCGTAGAGTGGGGCCAAACCCAGGTCCAGCGACCGTCAACCCAACACTTTAGATTATTGAGGTTGCTAGGTTTTGCGTTAAGGTCACTACAATATTTAATATTGTAAAGTTTATAAAAAATGGGAATGCACTTTAAATAAAGTTTGGGTAATGCTGTACACTGTGCTTATTATTATTACATGGTATTTACAATATGTAAAAAAGCATTGTAATAAATTGTAATAACTCCCCCCTTGCTGAATTTCACTGTCAGCATTATAACAACAACAAATGTTGCTCTCTCTCTTTTTCTCTCTCAGCAGGGTGTCAAGTGTCAATGTGCAGCGGTAGGACGGAGTCAGGCGCAGGACACAGAACTGAGTAAACGACGTACTTTACTCGAGAAATAAACAACACTGATTTCCACGCAGGGAAAACACACCAGCTCACATAAGTCTCAGACACAAAACCAAGAACAAACACGCACAAAACCATGTGGGAACCAGAGGGTTAAATAGGGAAATAATATAATGTAATGGGAACCAGGTGTGTACAATCAAGACAAAACAAATAGAAAAAGAAACGTAGATCGGTGGCAGCTAAAAAGCCGGTGACGACGACCGCCGAACGCCACCCGAACAAGTAGAGGCACCAACTTCGGCGGAAGTCGTGACAGTACCCCCCCCTTGACGCGCGGCTCCAGCAGCGCGCCGACACCGGCCTTGGGGACGACCCGAAGGACGAGGTGCAGGACGATCCGGGTGGAGACAGTGAAATTCCTGCAGTAAGGAAGGGTCCAGGATGTCCCCCACCGGCACCCAGCATCTCTCCTCCGGACCGTACCCCTCCCACTCCACGAGGTACTGAAGGCCCCTCACCCGATGCCTTGAGTCCATGATGGCTCGTACAGTATACGCCGGGATCCCCTCGATGTCCAGAGGGGGCGGAGGAACCTCCCGCACCTCAGACTGCTAAAGTTGGTGGCAGCTAGAAAGCCGGTGACGACGACCGCCGAACACCGCCCGAACAAGGAGAGGCACCAACTTCGGCGGAAGTCGTAACACAGGGCTGATGCTGGTGCCAACAAGTTATGATATGGGTCCCTCTAGTGGTTCAATTATATTACATTTGGAGTTAGAAACTCGACAAAAACTGGCCAATATCAAATCCCTGCTGGCAGCTGATATTGGAGTTTGCTTGTAGCAGCTGTTTAGAATAAAGAAGAATCAGTTTAGCAACATTTATTTTGGTGTGGTAGGTATGTCTTATGACATAAGAATAGCCTATCAAATATACACTGAGTGTACAAAACATTAGGAACACCTTCCTAATATTCAGTTGTACCCCCTTTTGCCTTAATTCGTTGGGGCATGGACTCTGCAAGGTGTCGAAAGCGTTCCACAGGGATGCTGGCCCATGTTGACTCCAATGCTTCCCACAGTTGTGTCAAGTTGGCTGGATGTCCTTCGTGTGGTGGACCATTCTTGATACGCACGGGAAACTGTTGAGCGTGAAAAACAGTTGCAGTTCTTGACAAACTCAAACCGGTGCGCCTGGCACCTAATACCATACCCTGTTCAAAGGCACTTAAATATTTTGCCTTGCCCATTCACCCTCTGAATGGCACACATACACAATCCATGTCTCAATTGTTTCAAGGCTTAAAGATCCTTCTTTAACCTGTCTCCTCCCCTTCATCTACACTGATTGAAGTAGATTTAACAGGTGATATCAATAAGGGATCATAGCTTTCACCTGGATTCACCTGGTCAGTCTATGTCATGGAACGAGCAGGTGTTCCTAATGTTTTGTACAGTCATTGTATGTTGAATGGTATTATTAGTATGGCTATATTTTTCAAACGCAGAGCTAAAACTTATGAAAGCTCAATCACAGTTTTTATTTTTATTTGAAGACAATGCATTTCTATTATTTTTTCATTCCTGGAAACGAAAAATAAGTGCAAGTAAACTTGACAGAAACGTACATATACAACAATGGAAGCTGCTGAGGAGGACGGCTCATAATAATGGCTGGAACGGAGTTAATGGAATGGCATCAAACACATGGAAACCATGTGTTTGATGTCACAGGAGGTTGGTGGCACCTTAATTGGGGAGGACGGGCTCGTGGTAATGGCTGGAGCGGAATTAGTGGAATGGTATCAAATACATCAAACACATGGATTCCAGGTGTTCGATGCCATTCCATTCGCTCCGTTTCTCCCCTCTTTAGCCTCCTGTGTTTGATGTATTTGATACCATTGCACTCATTCCGCTTAATAAGATTTCTGAGCACCACTATAAGACAGGAATAAGACCAAGGCTGAATTCAGTACGAAAAAATGTAGTGGACAGTTCAATTAAACGGAAAAGGTGCTGTACTGAACGACCAGTTTAAAAAAACGGGGAGGGGTTGGGTTGTGGGTTCAAAATGCAAAGCCGCCCTTTAAATACGTCACTCGTTGCTTCAAGCCACACCCACCAAACAGAGCAAACATACTCAGAGATGAAGAGGAAGAGAGAGGGCCAACTCAGCGGAAAATCTGTCTCCCTCCGACAGGTGGCGTTTTTTCATTGTTTTGTCCACCAAGCAAGGAGTTTTTGTATGGAGGTCAATGAGGGCATGTCGAATTTCGGCAACAAAAAAAAATGTATGGCTTATTTGCTACGTGAGGTTTATTTGATGAAATAGAAGTTTCGTAATGCTTAAGTTGTTACGAGTGCACTGATATAAGTAGGACACGTGACATCCCGGAAACTTTGAGAAAAAACGCTTTATATCGGAGTTGTCTCGAGATGGCTATGCATATTCATGGCATGAGGATAGTAGCATAGCATCTCTCCACATTGAATACAGGCGGTTGACGTCAACAACCCTCGTCGAATATTCAAAAAAGGATTACAACAATGAGATGTATCCACCAATCCAAAGAAAGGATAGCCGGGAGCTAGACAGCCTACCATGCTGCTTTGTGGACAATCACTCCCATTGTTAGGGCGGAGACACATCTATCTTGTCAGTACATCCATAATCTTTGATGTACCTCAAAGTCTGTTCAAGAATTTACAAGAACGTTTTGGGGAAACGTGTAGTTCAGTACAAACTGTTCTGCAACATAGCAAACCTTCAATCGAAATGAACGTACCCCATGTCTACTGGCCTACTTATCTAATTGTTTTGTATTTTAAACTGTTATTTCGTTTTTTGTCCATAATTAGGATATGATTTTGTGATTTATATTTCCTTTGCCTGCAGTGGAGGCTCCTCAGAAGAGGAAAGGGAAGACCATCCTCCTCAGTGAATTTCATTTTTATTGATTTATTGTAAAACATTAAAAAAGTTATCCTATTTAGATAAAACTATACTAAATATATTCACGTCACCAATAATTGATTAAAACACATTGTTTTGCAATGAAGGTCTACAGTAGCCTCAACAGCACTCTGTATGGTAGCACCATGGTGTAGTCGGAGGACAGCTAGCTTCTGTCCTCCTCTGGGTATATTGACTTCAATACAAAACCTATGAGGCTCATGGTTCTCACCCCCTTCCATAGGCTTACACAGTAATTATGACAACTTCCAGAGGACGTCCTCCAACCTATTAGAGCTCTTGCAGCATGAACTGACATGTTGTCCACCCAATCAAAGGATCAGAGAATGAATCTAGTACTGAAAGCATAAGCTACAGCTAGCTAGCTCTGCAGTGCATAAAATGTGGTGAGTAGTTGTCTCAAAGAGAGAGAAAGACAATAGTTGAACAGTTTTGAACAAATTAATTTCTTCAAAAATGAAGGAGAAGCAAGAGAGAGAAAGAGAAAGAGAGAGAGAGATTTCATCATGTTTTTCCCACTTTCAGTTTCACTAACTTAGCTAGCAAATGCAGCTAGCTAGTTTAACCTACTCAAACACCCTGCTCAAATAGAGGGATGCTATGTTAGCTAGCTGGCTATAAATATCCAACACAACACTGGAACTCTTCCAAGTCAAGGTAAGCTTTTGGTTTAACTAATTTATTGCCACCGGGGCCCACCAGTTTAACTGCTGAACTGCTTACTGACTATACACTGTAATGTTACTGCATGATTGTAGCGGGTTTAATAACGCGTTAGTTCTATTGGGTTATGTTGACTATGACGTTACTTTAGCTAATATGGTGACAACTATGCAGGCAAGAGTGTGCAAGGCGGTATTGAATGTGTCACTGTCTGTCCATGTCGACCTATGTGCACCTAAGCTGTAAACTTTCATTCATAGGCTAGGTTGTAGCAACCTCATGATGGGTATGGGGAAAATTAGAGTATTGTGTAGTCGCCTAAGCCTATCAATGTTACGGTACATTGAACTGGGTGAATGGAATATGAATGACAGTCATCCAATATGCTTTAATAGAAATAAGGTCCTCCCTCAGTTTAAAATGCACCGACCACCACTGTTTGCCTGAATGATAACATGTACTTTATAAATAAAAACACAAAGTTAAAAAACATAGCCTACTGTTGAGATCATGATAGAAGTGTGTGAGCTGTAGCAAGCGGTAGGATATAACTGATACGGTAAACGTTTAGCATACCTACTGAACTACAGACAATAAAATACACTCGGAAAATAACCAGCCACTACCTACAGAGGACGCGCAGCAGCTGATACTCTTTCCGCGCATGCTCTCTCTCGAGGAAATATGAGCCGCTTCTGGTTCTATTTTCTTTTTCTATTTTTCTCAATTAAAAGCCCAAGCCTCATCCTATTTGTCTGTTGCGCGGTGTAGGTGTTCATCCACTACTGGAAGCGATAAAGAAAGACGCGGAGAAAGGGAGGGGACAATGGAGAAAGAGGAGAGGAGGATGAGGGAGGGAGCCAGCCAGGAGGGAAGGAATAGGCCTATAGGCAAATATACAGTCGATGTGAGAAAGGCTGTTGATGTTTTAATACACAATCATGCATGATGCATGCATTAAACTGTAGCAGACAAAAAATTATAGGCTGCAGGTTATGTTTACCTCCTGTTATGACATACTATCCGTTATTTGTTTGTCTCATCATCTCTCGCATATCCATCACTTCACTACTTAGGTCACATAATCTCGTGCCCTTGCACTGCCAATCTGTGTGACGTGGTTCTGAGATGTCGGAATGTGCTGTTCTCGCAGCGGAGGTCGTTAGACGCACTGGATGGGATGGTTACGTTACCGGACATTGATAACCGCTGCAGACACACGCGTCCAGCGGGGGGCGATAAGGGGAGTTTATAAAAACATGGTGATGACTGACCATGTCCATTAGTACGAGGGACAACAACTCTGCGCGAGAGAAAGTGTGGTAAGCTACTTTCTATTTACCTAAACAAGTTAGCCTATGTTTATTTATCCAACGACCATTCCTCCAAACAATCCCAATCGGATTAACCTGATCTAATGTAGAACTTTCTGGGAGAGATTATAGTGATCTACATGACATCATTGTTTTCATTAAAAGAGCTATATGTAATATTTTTGCATTTCAATTTCAGAAAATGGCCTTAATATATCTTCAGTAATAGTGGAATGATAGTGTTTCACAATATTTCTTCCCCCAAAAAAGTCATTGGGTCCACACAAAATTGCATTTAAATGGTCCAGCCTTCTTATTGGTCAACAAAAGACAGACCTTCTCTTTTTGTCAAATTGATTGGGGCCAACAAATCTCTTGTTGTCAATTCAACAAAGGACCAGTCAATTTAACAAGATATTTGCTGGCCCCAGTCAATTTAACAAGAGATTTGCTGGCCCCAGTCAATTTAACAAGAGATTCATTGTTGAATTGTTACATGTAGCCTAGTACCTTTAAATTGTATGAATAATACTTTATGACTTTGGCCAGCCTTGATTCAAAATCCTGCTGTCATGACTCATGTCAAGACAGAAAAGTATGTATAGGCTACCTCAGCACAAGTTCAGGTTATACATGTGTCCTTTATGTTCTTATCATAGGATTGGATCATTAACTTGTGATGAATGACATCACTGTGAAATGTGGATTGCTCGAATGAGATTGACTCAGTCTAACGTGATGTCTGTTTTCTCCACAGCCTTGAAAAACCCTAGCTCAGTAGTGTCTGAGTAGTGAATATTGTGTGTGTGTGTAGGCTATAATGGGTCTGGCACTGTCTGGCTGGCTGGGTGGCATCCCAGCCAAGATGAAGAAGGATGCTCCCTCCTCTTCCTCCTTCCTCCCGCTGTCCATCCCTACCTCCTCCCGCCTTTCACTGCTCCTAAACTCCTTTCCCATTGCCCCTGGAGACCCCCGGTGCCGCTGGAGCCCCACACACTGTTCACCTCACTTCCTGCTGTCCCCGTGCGGGGAGGAAGTGACACGTGCACCCACCCAGCAGAGCAGCGACGGGGCTCGGGGGGAGAAGGGGGAGAGGGGAGGACTGCACGTGTGGGAGGTGCTGTGGAGCCCCGCCCACAGAGGAAGTCATGCTGTGATTGGTGTATCCACGGAGCACTGCCCGCTGCAAACCTCCGGTTACACTGCACTGGTGGGCGGAGACTCACAGTCCTGGGGATGGGAACTCACAACCAATCAGCTGTGGCATGCAGGGCGAGCACTGCGGAGGTACCCCGGGGAGAGAGGGGTGCAGGCAGGAGAGCGATCTGTGTCCCCCCCTCACCCTGTCCCGGAGCACGTGCTGCTGGTTCTGGACACAGACGCAGGAACTCTGGGATATATGGTAGATGACTGCTTCCTGGGCGTGGCCTTTAAGGACCTCCCCCGAGGGGTGGAGCTGTTCCCAGCCGTCAGCAGCGTAAGGGGTGGAGCCTCCATACGACTATGCTACCTCAATGGAGCTACCCGTGAGTATAACCTCATCATTATAATACAATACAATGTAACTTTATTGTACCTTGGCATGTTGCTTGGCTTTTATAGCATCAACACAGACAGGCAACATTTACCAAAATATTACAGCTACCAAACTAAACACAGTGCAACTAACACAACTAAAACAGTTCAGAACTATTCATGATGCCCTTAAACCCAAACATGCCCACGCCAAGTACTTATGTTTGCATCAGTGGAGGCTGCTGAGGGGAGAATGGCTCATAATAATAGCTGGAACGGAGCCAATGGAATGGCATCAAACCATGTGTTTGATGCATTTGATTCCATTCCACCAATTCCGCTCCAGCCATTACCACGAGCCCGTCCTCCACAATTAAGGTGCCATTGACCTCCTGTGGAATGCATGTATGTTTGTTACATTTATTTCTCTCTTTCCTTCCTTCCCTCTCTTTCTCTCAGGCGAGCCTCCTGCACTGATGGCTCTCTGTGGTCTGTCCATCCATGTGTCCATGGGGAAAGAGAGAGAGACTCAGACAGACAGACTACCTCTGCCTCTTCCTCTTCAACGCTACCTCCTGCCCAGCATATGACTTGCACACACAAACACACACACACACACACACACACACACACACACACCACACACACACACACACACACACACACACACACACTGTATGGAGTAAATAGGAATGTTCTCACTGACACAATGTCCATATACTGCTAAATTATAGAACCTATTTATTACAACCATGATATTGTTGGATTGTAAAATACACCTGCTGTTTTTTTACTACATTTATATTTAATAATTTATTAATTTATGTTGAATCTATTGCTGTTTGTTTAAAAATGCTATTTATTTATTAAATATCTGATATTACAGGCTGCCATAACTCCTGTCCTGGGGCTCATTGTTATTGTTCAAGTCTTCTCTACCTCATGTTCTCACACACACATACAGGATGGTTGGTTTAGACAACAAAGTATAAAAAAAAACTAATTAAATAGGTTAGGATAGCACACTGCTGATGTGAGTAATATTGAACAATCTGTTTTTTTTGTCCTCTTAGAATAAACGTATGTCACACAAACAATCATCACACATGTACCCTCACAGCCTTCATTCAGTTCTGAACCCATGCTTTAGCAGAGATGGAATAGGAAGCGAGACATCCCACACCCCAGTGGTGTAGTGGTGCATGGAGAAGTGGGTATACTCTAATTTTGCCAAAAATGTTTCAAACGGCCCGCCCGGCGAAGGAAAGGTGCCCTGTGTGAAAGATCCTATGAGAAACAGTGACATACACTCTGAATGACCTAAAATTATCAATCCCATATTGGTCTTTCACAGTCAGGCCAACCCAAGCTGTACTGTGCAGTAGGCTAATAGTAGTACCTATTATTGAAACAGATAAACTGAGTCAGAAATTCACAGGTTTCAGATTTTCCCCAATTTCTTCAGGGTTTTGTTCTCAAAGGCCCTTTTTTGTTTAGTTTTTTTGGCAAAACTGTATGTTCTAAGTCCATAACAATGCTAAAACCACATCTGGAGACCACTTTTGAGGTCTTTTGAGGAACCTAGCACTGTTGTTTGGTTAGCAGTGTTTCTGTAGCACATGAATGGCCACTGGATTGATGCAAATAATCATGATATCATTCTGACAGGTATGCATGCATTCTCCTGTTCTATTGTTGTTGATTTTTACTTTCTTTCATTGTCTAGCAGCCCTAGGAATGATCCTAATCATATTAGCAACCCCATGACAGTTATTGCATCTTTAAATCCCCCCTCTTTCTAACAGATATTTCCATCACTGTCCATTCCCTTAGATTGCAGTTTTGAAACTGCAGTAAAAGTACAGTGACTGCAGTCGACTGTGGTATTTTGGATGCAGTAATTGCATAATACTGCAGTAATACTGCACTCTAACTGCAGTTATACTGCACTCTGACTGCAATCTTTTTTCGTAAGGGTGAAACAGCGCATGTGCGGTGCGCATTTTAGAAAGGTGTTTTCCCGCAAATTGTTTTTTGGAAAATTCACGTGTAGGCCTACTGCCATGTGTACATTGCTGCGCCTAAAATAAATAATAATAATAAATAATATTTTATCAACATTTTAAGCTAAACAGTCCGATCTGTTCCATCAGCCCTAGTAATTGACATGGCGGATACCTCCACTACACTACTCTGATACGCATCAGTGGGGATTGAGAAGTGAGCCTACGCAATGCCCACTGAAAACTAAATGGGTATATGGAGTATACCTGCGTATACCCACTACGCCACTGCCTCTCTCTCATTTTTTCTGGTTCATACAATGCCTTGCAAAAGTATTAATCCCCCTTGGAGTTTTTCCTATTTTGTTGCATTACAACCTGGAATTTAAATTGATTTTTATTTGGATTTCATGTCATGTACATACACAAAATAGTCCAAATTGGTGAAGTGAAATGAAAAAAATAACTTGTTTCAAAAAATTCTAAAAAATAAATAACGGAAAAGTGGTGTGTGCATATGTATTCACTCTATGAAGCCCCTAAATAAGATCTGGTGCAACCAATTACCTTCAGAAGTCACATAATTAGTTAAATAAAGTCCACCTGTGTGCAATCTAAGTGTCACATGATCTGTCACATGATCTCAGTATATATATATATATATATATATACAGTGGGGAGAACAAGTATTTGATACACTGCCGATTTTGCAGGTTTTCCTACTTACAAAGCATGTAGAGGTCTGTAATTTTTTTCATAGGTACACTTCAACTGTGAGAGACAGAATCTAAAACAAAAATCCAGAAAATCACATTGTATGATTTTTAAATAATTAATTTGCATTTTACTGCATGACATAAGTATTTGATCACCTACCAACCAGTAAGAATTCCGGCTCTCACAGACCTGTTAGTTTTTCTTTAAGAAGCCCTCCTGTTCTCCACTCATTACCTGTATTAACTGCACCTGTTTGAACTCGTTACCTGTATAAAAGACACCTGTCCACACACTCAATCAAACAGACTCCAACCTCTCCACAATGGCCAAGACCAGAGAGCTATGTAAGGTCATCAGTGATAAAATTGTAGACCTGCACAAGGCTGGGATGGGCTACAGGACAATAGGCAAGCAGCTTGGTGAGAAGGCAACAACTGTTGGCGCAATTATTAGAAAATTGAAGAAGTTCAAGATGGCGGTCAATCACCCTCGGTCTGGGGCTCCATGCAAGATCTCACCTCGTGGGGCATCAATGATCATGAGGAAGGTGAGGGATCAGCCCAGAACTACACGGCAGGACCTGGGCAATGACCTGAAGAGAGCTGGGACCACAGTCTCAAAGAAAATTATTAGTAACACACTACGCCGTCATGGATTAAAATCATGCAGCACACGCAAGGTCCCCCTGCTCTAGCCAGCGCATGTCCAGGCCCGTCTGAAGTTTGCCAATGACCATCTGGATGATCCAGAGGAGGAATGGGAGAAGGTCATGTGGTCTGATGAGACAAAAATAGAGCTTTCTGGTCTAAACTCCACTCGCCATGTTTGGAGGAAGAAGAAGGATGAGTACAACCCCAAGAACACCATCCCAACCGTGAAGCATGGAGGTGGAAACATCATTCTTTGGGGATGCTTTTCTGCAAAGGGGACAGCACGACTGCACCGTATTGAGGGGAGGATGGATGGGGCCATGTATCACGAGATCTTGGCCAACAACCTCCTTCCCTCAGTAAGAGCATTGAAGATGGGTCGTGGCTGGGTCTTCCAGCATGACAACGACCCGAAACACACAGCCAGGGCAACTAAGGAGTGGCTCCGTAAGAAGCATCTCAAGGTCCTGGAGTGGCCTAGCCAGTCTCCAGACCTGAACCCAATAGAACATCTTTGGAGGGAGCTGAAAGTCCGTATTGCCAAGCGACAGCCCCGAAACCTGAAGGATCTGGAGAAGGTCTGTATGGAGGAGTGGGCCAAAATCCCTGCTGCAGTGTGTGCAAACCTGGTCAAGACCTACAGGAAACGTATGATCTCTGTAATTGCAAACAAAGGTTTCTGGACCAAATATTAAGTTCTGCTTTTCTGATGTATTAAATACTTATATCATGCAATAAAATGCAAATTAATTACTTTAAAATCATACAATGTGATTTTCTGGATTTTTGTTTTAGATTCCGTCTTTCACAGTTGAAGTGTACCTATGATAAAAATTACAGACCTATACATGCTTTGTAAGTAGGAAAACCTGCAAAATCGGCAGTGTATCAAATACTTGTTCTCCCCACTGTATACACCTGTTCTGAAAGGCCCCAGAGTCTGTAACACCACTAAACAAAGGGCACCACCAAGCAAGTGGCACCGTGAAGACCAAGGAGCTCTCCAAACAGGTCAGGGACAAAGTTGTGGAGAAGTACAGATCAGGGTTGGGTTATAAAAAAATATCCGAAACTTTGAACATCCCACGGAGCACCATTAAATCCATTATTAAAAAATGGAAAGAATATGGCACCACAACAAACCTGCCAAGAGAGGGCTGCCCACCAAAACTCACGGCCCAGGCAAGGAGGGCATTAATCAGAGAGGCAACAAAGAGACCAAAGATAATCCACAGCGGAGATTGGAGTATCTGTCCATAGGACCACTTTAAGCCGTACACTCCACAGAGCTGGGCTTTATGGGAGAGTGGCCAGGAAAAAAGCCATTGCTTAAAGAAAAAAATAAGCAAACACATTTGGTGTTCGCCAAAAGGAATGTGGGAGACTCCCCAAACATATGGAAGAAGGTACTCTGGTCAGATGAGACTAAAATTGAGCATTTTGGCCATCAAGGAAAATGCTATGTCTGGCGCAAACCCAACACCTCTCATCACCCAGAGAACACCATCCCCACAGTGAAGCATGGTGGTGGCAGCATCATGCTGTGGGGATGTTTTTCATCGGCAGGGACTGGAAAACTGGTCAGAATTGAAGGAATGATGGATGGCACTAAATACAGGGAAATTCTTGAAGGAAACCTGTTTCAGTCTTTCAAAGATTTGAGACTGGGACGGAGGTTCACCTTCCAGCAGGACAATGACCCTAAGCATACTGCTAAAGCAACACTCGAGTGGTTTAAGGGGAAACATTTAAATGTCTTGGAATGGCCTAGTCAAAGCCCAGACCTCAATCCAATTGAGAATCTGTGGTATGACTTAAAGATTGCTGTACACCAGCGGAACCCATCCAACTTGAAGGAGCTGGAGCAGTATTGCCTTGAAGAATGGGCAAAAATCCCAGTGGCTAGATGTGCCAAGCTTATAGAGACATACCCCAAGAGACTTGCAGCTGTAATTGCTGCAAAAGGTGGCTCTACAAAGTATTGACTTTGGGGGAGGGTGAATAGTTATGCACGCTCAAGTTTTCAGTTTTTTTGTCTTATTTCTTGTTTGTTTCACATAAAAAATATGTTGCATCTTCAAAGTGGTAGGCATGTTGTGTAAATAAAATGATACAAACCCCCCAAAAATCCATTTGAATTCCAGGTTGTAAGGCAACAAAATAGGAAAAATGCCAAGGGGGGTGAATACTTTCGCAAGCCACTGTATACTGTCAATGAACTATATAAGTAGACCAGACCCAACTGCTATGCATTGGTGTCTATGGGAGAGCCACCTCTTAAAGGGGCAGTGCAGTCAAAAGTGTGATTTTGCTGTTATTTGGATGATATTTCAACACTATAAGTTCAGAAAAAAAATGCCTGCAAATTCAGCATGTTCAGGTGGGATGGTGTTTTTGTCCCAGATCATGACATCACAATCTGATCTGACTATTCTTACCAGTCATCTTTTATTTGCATATGTATCCTACTACTTTGAAGAGGTAAGGGTAGGTGTGTAGTAATATCCTATCCGCCAATCAGGACTGTGTATGTAAATATATTTAAATTTGTATCAACAGGGGCCCACAAGACCAGACTGAGCATGTCAATGGTAAAGAGAGGCTCAAGGAAATAAATGATTAAACATACAGTACCAGTCAAAAGTTTGGACACACGTACTCATTCCAAGGTTTTTCTTTATTTTTACTATTTTCTACATTGTAGAATAATAGTGAAGACATCAAAACTATGAAATAACACATATGGAATCATGTAATAACCAAAGAAGTGTTAAACAAATCAAAATATATTTGAGATTTGAGATTTTTCAAAGTAGCCACCCTTTGCCTTGATGACAGCTTTGCACACTCTTGGCATTCTCTCAACCAGCTTCATGAGGTAGTCACCTGGAATGCATTTTAATTAACAGGTGTGCCTTGTTAAAAGTTAATTTGTGGAGTTTCTTTCCTTCTTAATGTGTTTGAGCCAATCAGTTGTGTTGTGACAAGGTAGGGGTGGTATACAGAAGATATCCCTATTTGGTAAAAGACCAAGTCCATATTATGGCCAGAACAGCTCAAATAAGCAAAGAGAAACGACAGTCCATCATTACTTTAAGACATGAAGGTCAGTCAATACGGAACATTTCAAGAACTTTGAAAGTTTCTTCAAGTGCAGTCGCAAAAACCATCAAGCGTTATGATGAAACTGGCTCTCATGAGGACCGCCACAGGAAAGGAAGACCCAGAGTTACCTCTGCTGCAGAGGATAAGTTCATTAGAGTTACCAGCCTCAGAAATTACAGCCCAAATAAATGCTTCACAGAGTTCAAGTAACAGACACATCTCAACATCAACTGTTCAGAGGAGACTGCATGAATCAGGCCTTCATGGTCGAATTGCTGCAAAAAAAACACTACTAAAGGACACCAATAAGAAGAAGAGACTTGCTTGGGCCAAGAAACACGAGCAAAGGACATTAGACCGGTGGAAATCTGTCCTTTGGTCTGATGAGTCCAAATTTGAGATTTTTGGTTCCAACCGCCATGTCTTTGTGAGACGCAGAGTAGGTGAACGGATGATCTCCACATGTGTGGTTCCCACCGTGAAGCAAGGAGGAGGTGTGATGGTGTGGGGGTGCTTTGCTGGTGACACTGTCTGTGATTTATTTAGAATTCAAGGCACACTTAACCAGCATGGCTACCACAGCAGTCTGCAGCGATACGCCATCCCATCTGGTTTGCGCCTAGTGGGACTATAATTTGTTTTTCAACAGGACAATGACCCAACACACCTCCAGGCTGTGTAAGGGCTATTTGACCAAGAAGGAGAGTGATGGAGTGCTGCATCAGATGACCTGGCCTCCACAATCACCCGACCTCAACCCATTTGTGATGGTTTGTGATGAGTTGGACCGCAGAGTGAAGGAAAAGCATCCAACAAGTGCTTAGCATATGTGTGAACTCCTTCAAGACTGTTGGAAAAGCATTCAAAGGTGAAGCTGGTTGAGAGAATGCCAAGTGTGTGCAAAGCTGTCATCAAGGCAAAGGGTGGCTACTTTGAAGAATCTAAAATATATTTTGATTTGTTTAACACTTTTTTGGTTACTACATGATTCCATATGTGTTATTTCATAGTTTTGATGTCTTCACTATTATTCTACAATGTAGAAAATAGTAAAAAATAAAGAAAAACCCTTGAATGAGTAGGTGTGTCCAAACTTTTGACTGGTACTGTATATTTGGAGTTATTTTCATGAAATAAACACATACAGTGATTTATCAGACATACAGTGATTATTTAAAAATACTATTAAAAATACAACAACAAAAAAAGACTGCATGGGGGCTTTAAGTAGATGGTAAATGAGTGGGATGTCTTCAATTATCCACCATCTTTGGCTTTAGTTCTGCTGCAGCGGCGCCAGCGCACGTGGGGATGAATTTGGCGCGCTTGGTGCACAGTGAGAGACGCGCTAAAAGTCAACTACACACACAACAGCTAAAAGACGAGTTAACGTTCAGGTTAGTAGAGGTAGACTACCGGTAAGTTGCTAACTAACAAACATGCTATAACTGAGGCGCACATTCCATATGTCTGGAAACGGAAAGGGTTAGGCCTACGACATAAGTGAAATTCAAACTAGCTCAAGTTAGCTAACTAGTCAAATTATGATACAATGATTCACGTGACAAGGTTTAGGCCAAAGTTGTCTGCGTGTCTTTGTGTAGCCTAGAGAGTAAATGTCGGTGCCTGGTGATGTCAGAGGAAGAGGCCTGTCTGAGCCCCCCAATCTGAATAGAGAGGAGGAGGAGGAGGAAGAATCACATGAGGTGAGAGCAACAGTGAACACACACATACATGTCATGTGTGCTAAACCACCTACAAACAATGGGCCATGGTAGATTAAGAGAATGTGTATGTGTGTCCAGGTGTTGCTGAGTGTGTTGGCCCAGCATGGGCAGTTGGGGTTGTGTTTCTATGACAGCAGAGACTTCACTCTGCACTACATGCCTGACACCTCAGGCAACCACCAGCTCCAACTGTTGGCCAGAGGTATATACTAAAGTTAAACACACATACACTCACACACACTAACCAGAGGTAGTCAGTACACATGCCTAATGCACACCTAAACTACTTACTGACCCAAACGCATTGATCCCTCTCCTCCCTGTCCCCCTCTCCTTCCCCTGTCCCCCTCTCCCTCCCCCCGGTCCCCCTCTCCCCTGTCCCCCTCTCCTTCTCCTCTCCCTCCCCCTGTCCTCTCCCACCCCCCGGTCCCCCTCTCTCCTGTCCCCCTCTTCTTCTCCTCTCCCTCCCCCTGTCCCCCTCCCAATGTCCCCCTCCCTGTCCCCTCTCCCGGTCCCCCTCCTCTGTTCCCCCTCCCTCCCCTTCCCTCTCCCCCCTCTCTCTCTCAGTGGTCCAGGAGGTGAGCCCTCATGTGATCATTACCAGTGCTAAGCAGGAACGCTGCATGGTCCAGTTCATGCAGGGACTGGGTGAGGAGGGGCACCGCACAGGGAGGACTGGGGAAGGGAAAACGTTAGGCCGGCCCGGGAGGGTTGGGGGGTGATGGTTAAGGTGGAGGGTAAAGGTTAATGCTAAAAAATCTTTCTACATTTGCACTTTCTCCCCCTTTCTCACTTTATCTGCTTGCCCTTCTATCTCACTTTCTCTCTCTTTCTCTCAAGCTCTCTCTTCTATCGCTCACTCTCTTCCTTTTCTCTCTCGTCTATCACACACACCCCCCCTCTCTCTCTCTCTCTCTGACTCCCTCTCTCCTCCCTGCTTCCAGGAGCCAACCCAGACTACAGGCCAGAGGTGGTGACCTATCCCAATGTGGACTTTGGTAAGAACAGCTGCCTGGCCTGCCTGTGGTAATACAGTAGGTATCATTCTTTGTGTAACATTTTAACATCAATAGTAAAGTTTTCAATTACAGATTCGCTCTCTCTCCATCTCTTTTCTGCAGGTCTGGAGGTCAGTAAGCAGAGGCTGCTGTCTGCCCAGCTTCTCTTCCTCCCTCCTGCCGTCTCAGAGAGAGAGAGAATCTCCTACCTCTCCTCCTGCATCTCCTTCGATTCCCCCCTCATGGTGAGTTCTCCCCCCACCTCCCCCTTGTTCCATTAAAATAACCTCAGGTTAGGTTAAATTGAAAATGTTGTTGTTTTGTGTGTGTGTCCTAGCTGCGCTCAGTAGGTGCGTTGCTAAAGTGTCTGGACAGGAGGAGAGTGGGAGTGGAGCTAGAGGACAGCAGTGTGGGAGTCCCCATCTTACAGTTCCACACCTACACACTGTAAGACACACACACACAAAACATACAACACACACATACTGAATTTCATTTCTCTTACAGGAAAGACGTGGTGTATGTGGACCGGGATACTTACAGGTCAGTCCCCCTGGAGACAGACACAGACACAAACACACACACACACACTCTCTCTGCCATGTTTGTTGTGTGTGTTGCAGATCTTCAAGTCGGAGATGCACCCCTCTGTGTACAAGCTGCAGTCTGGGGAGAAGGAAGGGCTCAGTCTCTATGGTAACACACATTATGGGATGTTAATGCACTGATGTGATGTCAGTACATTCTCACACTCGCATTATGAGAAGCGATGATCTCTCAGGCGGGTTTCCTGTAGTGATGATGTCATGGGTGTCGGTGTCTCTGTTTCAGCGATACTGAATCACTGCAGGTGCAAGTTTGGCTCCAAACTGCTTCGGTGAGGAAAACCTGTTCTCATGGTTAAAGTATCAGAAACCAACCACACACAGATCATATCTGAGAAACATAATCAATACCTCAGTACCTGTTCGTGGTGGTGCGTAGTCATAATCTATCCCTCCTTGTTCTGCTAGACATTGGTTATTGTGAAATACCCTCTCCTCTCTCTCTCTCTCTCTCTCTCTCTCTCTCTCTCTCTCTCTCTGTCTCTGTCTCTGTCTCTGTCTCCTCTCTCCATCTCCTCTCTCTCTCTCTCTCTCCTCTCTCAGCCAGTGGTTTCTGAGGCCTACTCGTGACCTGGCAGTGTTGAACAGGAGACAGGAGATTGTGAGATTGTTCTCCTGCCCACGCAATTCTGACTCCCTAAACACTTTGCAGGCCTCCCTACGCAACATCAGGAGCATCCCGGTAATCCTTGACCTGTAACCCTGACCTCTGAACTTAACCCTTTCAGCGCCATGCAGGCCTCAATCTGCAACATCAGTGATGAGTATGAATTTGCTGTAATTAAGCATATTATTTATCCTGCTGTAGACTCTACTGTGTACGATGTCTCTGTCTCACATCAAAGTCTCTGACTGGCAGGGTCTCTACAAGGTAGGAGTTCTACGACCATTTATCTATGTGAATAGCGTGTCTGAGTGTGTACTAGACAAACTACTGTGCAGTGTGAATTGTTGTGTGAAGAGTGTGTGTGTGTGTGTGTGTGTGTGTGTGTGTGTGTGTGTGTCTGTGTGTTGTAGACAGTGTACAGTGCGGTGTGTATCAGGGACACAGTACGTTCCCTGCCTCAGTCCATCCAACTCTTCCAGGAGATCAGTGAGGGATTCTCAGATGACCTTTACTACACGTCAGGTGCAGCTCCCATGTTCTGTATGTCAATGTGTTTCGTTCTCATTTTGTTCTGTGATTTGTGTCTTGTACAGGTGGACTTTCAGGGCAGTTTAGCAGAAAACCGTTTCACCGTCAAACCCAATGTGGACCCTGCTATAGACGAGAGTGAGTGTTCATAACATTAGAGAATTCTGAAGGTTAGAGTTATGTTAGCTGAAGGTTAGGGTAAGGTTAGTTGAAGCTTAGGGTTATGTTAGCTGAAGCTTAGGGTAAGGTTAGTTGAAGTTTAGGGTTATGTTAGCTGAAGGTTAGGGTAAGTTTGTTGAAGGTTAGGGTTAGGTGATGGTTATGGTAAGGTGAAGGTTAGGGTCATCTTACTCACCTCCGTCTGCTCCCTCTGTCAGAGAAGAGGAGGATGATGGGACTGTCTGATTCCTGACGGACGTGGCTCGCAGAGAGCTGGAGCACCTGGACGCCCGCATCCCCTCCTGCTGCGTCATCTACATCCCCCTGGTCTGACATCTACTATTACTGTCTGTCTACATCCCCCTGGTCTGACATCTACTATTACTGTCTGTCTACATCCACCTGGTCTGACATCTACTACTACTGTCTGTCTACATCCCCCTGGTCTGACATCCACTACTACTGTCTGTCTACATCCAACTTGTCTGACATCCACTACTACTGTCTGTCTATATCCCTCTTGTCTGACATCTACTACTACTGTCTGTCTACATCCCCCTGGTCTGACATCTACTATTACTGTCTGTCTACATCCCCCTGGTCTGACATCTACTACTACTGTCTGTCTACATCCCCTTGATCTGACTTCTACTACTACTGTCTGTCTACATCCCCCTGATATGGCATCCATCATGGGGTTACCCATCCCTGGTTTACATGCTAACAAGGATGCTAAATGCTAAACAAATAAATCTCAAATGTATCTTGCTGACTGTCAGGATCAATAGGATGCTGATGCTTTCTAAATATCCATAAAATGAGGTGAAGTTGTAATCTGGATGGCCTATAACATCAACATAATTTATTTATCTCTCTCTCTCTTTTTTTTTCTCTCTCTCTCTCTCTCAGATAGGGTTCCTGCTCTCGGTCCCTCGGTTGCCCAGCATGGTGGAGAAAGAGGACTTTGAGATAGAGGGCCTTGACTTCATGGTGCGTGTGTGATACATGCGTATGTGTGCTCACTGTGAGTATGTGTTTATGATGTGTGTATGTTCTCACTGTGTATGTGTGGTGTTTGTGTGTGTGTTTAGTTTCTGTCTGAGGAGCGTCTGCACTACCGCAGTCAGAGAACCAAGAAGCTAGATGACCTACTGGGAGACCTACACTGTGACACCAAAGGTCAGGCTGTCAGCCCTCCCCTCTCTTTCTCTCACTCCTCTTCTCTCCTCTCTCCTCTCTCTTTCTCTTTGCCCTCTCTAAAATGGGGACACATATAATCCAGAAAAATTAATATCAGAATGGGCAATGTCAGAGACCAGAATATAAATATATATACCACAGGAGGTTGGTGGCACCTTAATTGGGGAGGACGGGCTCATGTTAATGACTGGAGCGGAATAGGTGGAATGGTATCAAATACATCAAACACATGGTTTCCATGTGTTTGATGCCTTTCCATTTGCTCCATTCCGGCCATTATTATGAGCCGTTCTCCCCTCAGCAGCCTCCTGTGATATATACATATAATGGTGTGTAAAGACAGTATGGACAGTATGTTAATAGAAAAGGGGTGTACAGCAGTAGTTATATATCGGATGAGCCTTGACTAGAATACAGTATTTACATATGAAGTGGTAAAACAGTATGTAAACATTATTAAAGTGACCAGTGTTCAAATCAATCAAATTTCAATCAAATGTTATTTATAAAGCCGTTTCTACATCAGCAGATGTCACAAAGTGCTATACAGAAACCCAGCCTAAAACCCCAAACAGCAAGCAATGCAGATGTAGAAGCACGGTGGCTAGGAAAAACTCCATAGAAAGGCAGAAACCTAGGAAGAAACCTGGAGAGGAACCAGGTTCTGAGGGGTGGCCAGTCCCCTTCTGGCAGTGCCAGGTGGAGATTATAACAGTACATGGCCATTAAGGCCAGATTTTTCTCCAAGATGTTCAAACGTTCATAGATGACCAGCAGGGTCAAATAATAATCACAGTGGTTGTAGAGGTTGCAACAGGTCAGTACATCAGGAGTAAATGTCACTTGGCTTTTCATAGGTTGAAATAGCAGGTGCGGTAGAGAGAGAGAGTTGAAAACAGCAGGTCTGGGACAAGGTAGCACGTCCGGTGAACAGGTCATGGTTCCATAGCTGCAGGCAGAAGAGTGGAAACTGGAGCAGCAGCACGACCAGGTGGACTGGGGACAGCAAGGAGTCATCAGGCCAGGTAGTCCTGAGGCATGGTCCTAGGGCTCAGGTCCTCCGGGATGGGAGGGAGAGAGTCTAAGTTGCAGGGTAGATTACCGGGTGGTATCCAGCTAGTAACAGTGTCTAAGGTTCAGGGCAGGGTACTGGGCGGAGGCCTGCTAGTGGTGACTGTTTAACAGTCTGATGGCCTGGAGATAGAAGCTGTTTATCAGTCTCTCAGTCCCAGCTTGGATGCACCTGTACTGATTCTCTTCAGGAGAATCTCTAGCAACTGGATTTAGCTAAATATTTTCTGGATGATTTAGCACACACCTTTTTTCCTAAGAGTTTATCTAGAACCTAAAAGGGTTCTTTGGCTGACCCCATAGGAGAACCCTTTGAATTACCCTTTTTGGTTCCAGGTAGAACCCTTTTGGGTTCCATGTAGAACCCTTTCCACAGAGGGTTTTACATGGAACCCGAAAGGGTTCTACCTAAAAACCAAAAAGGGTTCTACCTGGAACCAAAAAGGGTTCTCCTATGGGGGACAGTAGAGGTCTTCACGTGTCCATAAAGTTGGACCTGTTCCGAAATGTACCTGGGACTTTCCCACACAAACCCGATATGCATAAATAACGGGCCCAAGGACAACTAGACCTGTTCCGTATAGATCGGGTCAGATCCAGACCCAGTCCGGTCCGAGTGAGGGAAGCAGCAGAAAATTCTTTTTTTAGCTACTTTATTAACCAGAGCTGATACTGTGCGAGAGGAGGGAGAGAGGTGGGGCTCTAGCAAACGGGGGAGGGGCCGTACTGTGAGACAGTGACATGGAGGGAGGAGGGAGGGAGAGACGAGGGACAGCAACCAACCAAGACTAATAGCTGCCATAGCTAGGTTATCTATCATCTAATATGATTACGTAGTACCTGTCTTGGACTGAATCAAACCAAGACGAGAAGCTAGTTAAGCTAGCTAACCCTTAGCTAGCTAGGCTAACTGATGCTGCAGTGCATGCACTTTCTCATCCTACAGTTACAAATAACAACAACTCCATTCAGAATATTAAGTAGCAGCCTGCCTACCTGTTGGCTCTTTTAATTACGTCATTTTAATTCCATCTTCCGTTGATTAGATATCTCCTAACTTTTGCCACACATGGAGACTATGACTGTAACCTATTGCCACTTTGATTACTTATGATTGGCCAACAACAAGCTACACGCACCAATCCCCACTCTCCTGACAAGCAAGATCAGCAGCAGCAGCATAAATTATACAATTTCTCTCTCTCTCTCTACTGCAGCAGTCACGTTCGGATCTGTACAGGCCGTTCCGGACAAGTCAGTTAAAATTACACATACCCGAGACCCGTAACAATTATATCAGATCCGACTCAGACCCGTGACCTTATTTTTGGATTTCTGGATCCGGACCAGCTCGGGTCTCGGGTATTCGGGTACAGGTGGACCCGTGAAGATCTCTAGGGGACAGCCGAAGAAACCCTTTTGGAACTATTTTTTCTAAGAGTGTAGACCATACTCTCTGCATGTCTGAATCGCTCTGTCTCTGTCTCTGTCTCTGTTTCTCTCTCGCTCTCGCTCTCTCTCTCTCTCAAAACCAAGATTGAACTCTTTGGCCTGAATACCAAGGGTCACGTCTGGAGGAAACCTAGCACCATCCCTACAGTAAATCATGGTGGTGGCAGCATCATGCTGTGGGTTCACATTCCAACAGGACAACGACCCTAAGCACACTGCCAAGACAACACAGGAGTGGCTTCGGGACAAGTCTCTGAATGTCCTTGAGTGGCCCAGCCAGAGCCCAGACTTAAACCCTCTGGAGAGACCTGAAAATAGCTGTGCAGCAATGCTCCCCATCCAACCTGACAGAGTTTGAGAGGATCTGCAGAGAAGAATGGGAGAAACTCCCCAAATACAGGTGTGCCAAGCTTGTAGCGTCATACCCAAGAAGACCTGAGGCTGTAATCGCTGCCAATGGTGCTTCAACAAAGTACTAAGTAAAGGGTCTGAATACTTATGTAAATGTGATATTTCAGTTTTTTTACAAATAAATAAATACTGTTTTTGCTTTGTCATTATGGGGAATTGGATGAGGGGGAAAAAAACTATTCAATCCATTTTAGAATAAGGCTGTAATGTAACAAAATGTGGAAAAAGTCGAGGGGTCTGAATACTGTCCGAATGCACTGTATATATATGTAATATTTTACTTATTTTTCCACAAAAGTCGTGCACTGGGCCTTTAATAGTGCTGTATTATATTAATGGACCGATATAGCGTCTGTAGCGCGGCCAATTGTTTTATTTTCACCCACCCCCCCCCCACAATAAAAACAATAACGAGGCTGTATGCGGGGAGTCCCAGTACCGAGTCAATGTGCAGATGAGACTCTAAAGCGAGATTTGACATTTAAATAAGTTAATAAATGTAAATGTGAACATTAATAAATGCCACCACTTCAGACTACTCTGATGTTGTTTCTTGCATTGTACCCAATGATTTATCAAAACTTACTTGATAGGTTGATGTCCTCATTGTGGTTTTACAGACATGTTTAATTAGTTTTATGTACACACTTTATTAGAATATTTATGAAATGCACATTGTTATATTTGGTAACACTTGCTTATTTTCCCTCGACTCCAACCCCATTTGATACATTGAACGTATGTGGGTGGATCAATGTCTACATAAGTTTGCAAATTATAAACACTCACAAAAGCTCTGAGGAAGGCCTTGAGGCCGATATGTAAAGCTTAATAAAGAGCAGTGATACTATCAAGAGCAGTGATACTATCAAGAGCAGTGATCCTATCAAGAGCAGTGATACTATCAAGAGCAGTGTGCAGGTTTCTTCTGTTTTCTCATCCTATTCAGCTGTTACCATGCACCTGCAACAAAGATAGCTCAGATGTGCGAGTGCCTTTTGAACATTTAAATCAGTTATTCTGGCTGCAATACATACACACAATCACACACAGGTGTTTTCTGTGTGTGTGTGTGTGTCCCTGTCAGGTGTGTGTGTGTGGTGGAGAAGTTCCTGTGTGTGAACCTGGAGGACCAGAGTGTGGATCTGCAGCGCTACATGAAGGAGGAGCTGCTGCCTTCTGGAGGAGACTTGCTCTAACAGGAACACTACTGTATACCAGTACTACTGTTGTCGATGGGAGATACACTGGTACTACACTCTTAGAAAAAATAGTTCCGAAAGAGTTCTCCGGCTGTCCCCATAGGAGAACCCTTTTTGGTTCCTGGTAGAACTATTTTGGGTTCCATGTAGAACCCTCTGTGTAAAAGGTTCTACATGGAACTCAAAAGGGTTCTACCTGGAACCAAAAGGGTTCTACCTGGAACCAAAAAGGGTTTTTCAAAGGGTTATCCTATGGGGACAGCCAAAGAACCCTTTTATGTTCTAGATATCACCTTTTTTTTTTAAAGAGTGTACTGTTGTCAATGGGAGATACACTGAAACACTGTCCAGTATGACCTCAGCTTCACTAACTGTAGGATATGGCGTAGGAGGAAGTTGCCCCAAGATGCTGATGATTTTAGAGAGGTTAAGATTATCCTAGATCTGTGCCTATGGGTCTGAGAGAGTGAGGCGTACTACTATAGGATTTACCATAACACTAAAGTCAATGGGAGATACTGTAGTATTCTCTATGGAAATATTTCAGTTTGGATGAGAACATAAAAGTAATTTTGATGTGTTTAAAATATCCCGACCAAGACTGAGGACAATGTAAATTAATATTATGTTATTCACAGTTACAATTCAAAATGTTCAATAAATATGATAGAAATTAAAATATTTTTTCTAGTTTATGCCAACAACAGAATGAGAAAGTTACTTTACATTTATTCTAAATTGTATTCCATAAAACCGTCTAATCAATTTTGCCCAAAGCCCAGAGACAGCTTCTAAGGGTTTAACATGAGCCTTTTGCCTTAATCTGGCACATCCACATATGTGTTAATTACTGTCCATAATCCTTTACAAATAAACACAGAAAATTAACAGAATTAAATGTGAGCTGCTGGGGACTGTATGACGCATGGTGGTATTGTAGTCTTGAAGGTGAGGATCATGGTTATTGTAGTCCTGTTGAGGGTGAGGATAATGGTTACTGTAGTCACTGTCGGGGAAAGGAGAGGTGGATGATGGTTATTGTTGTCAGTGCCAGGGAGAGGAGTGTGTTGAGGGGTAGTGTGTGTCCGGTGTTGCATAAGTGTGTGTCGCAGCAGTGCTTGGTCATCACGTAGATGGTTGTGTTGGAGAAGATCTCCACACTGGTCACCAGCTCACACTCCTTCACCTTGACACAGCCCAGCAACTTAACGTCCAACACATCACCTACAGAAACACACACACCGTTAACACACATACACACTGTCAACACACTAATACGCTCCACTTCACATTCCTCTGCCAAAAACCCACAAAACCCAGCACCGTAATGTCCCACACACAGCCCCCCCACACACACAGAAAACACTCACACACAGCACCCCCCCGGCCATGTCTATGCATGTGACCCACCTGCCTTCCCTCGGCCAGTGTAGCACCTCTCCCCGATGTTGCAGTTGGTTTTGGTGGTGTAGCAGGCGTCCCAGAAGCCCAGGTCACAGCGGAAACACTGCAGAGGTCCCTCCTCCTCCCGTTGCTCCTCCTTCTGATCATCCTCATCTGGGACCACAGGGTTTTATCATGTACAGTACACTCTCAGACAGGGACAGAATCGCTACAAGTCATGAGTGCTATATTGATTTATTGATTGAATTGATTTGATAATTTAAAGTCGAAGGCTGCTCCTGACGGAGACAACATTACATACATAAACAATTATTTGAGAATAAAAACAATAAAGATTGAAGGTTTATTTATATTGTGGTCCTCTTTGGTAAATAATATGAAAGGTGGGCAAGATCGCATTGTACACACTGTACACTCAATGCAGTTTAAAAAACATTAACAACAGTACTTAATTACAAATATTTACAACATAATCAACAGTACTGAGGTATCCTTACACAGGTCACTTCTTGAAAATAAAAATACCCCTAATCAAACAACAACTCAAGGTGATGCCTTAAAGCTGTTCTCTGACGACAAAGATTTTATGTACAGTGAGTGGTAATTTGTTCCACAGTACTGCAATAGACAAGAGTGGAATAGAGGAATACGTTTTTCCCGATGAAGCTCTTGAATCTACAGGGAATAAAGTTGGTAGCGCTCCCTCTGGTGGAATACTGGTGGGTGTCACCAATGCGCTTAAAATAATTACATTGGTACTGTAAATTTGGGAAAGAGTTATGTAAAATGTTTGATGACTTGGGTGACTTGTTTCACTTGAGCAACTCTTGAGCCATTTCAGTTCATCAAAGAGACAGGGTTGAACATGAGTACGGAACGGGAGCTTGAGAATAATCCTGACTATTTTATTCTCAATGGTGTAAAGTACTTAAGTAAAAATACTTGAAATTACTACTTAAGTAGTTTTTTGGGGTATCTGTACTTTACTATTTATATTTATGACAACTTTTACTTCACTAAATTCCTAAAGAAAAGTATGTACTTTTTGCTCCATACATTTTCCCTGACACCCAAAAGTACTTGTTACATTTTGAATGCTTAGCAGGACAGGAAAATGGTCTAATTCACAAACTTATCAAGAGAACATCCCTGGTCATCCCTACTGCCTCTGATCTGGTGGACTCACTAAACACATGCTTCGTTTGTAAATTATGTCTGAGTGTTGGAGTGTGCCCCTGGCTATCCGTACATTTAAAAAAAACAAGAAAATGGTGCTGTCTTGTTTGCTTAATATAAGGAATTTGAAATTATTCATACTTTTACTTTTGATACTTAAGTATATTTTAGCAATTACATGTACTTTTGATACTTAAGTATATTTAAAACCAAATACTTTTAGACTTTTACTCAAGTAGTATTTTACTGGGTGACTTTCACTTTTACTTGAGTCATTTTCTATTAAGGTATTTTTACTTTTACTCAAGTATGACAATTGGGTGCTTTTTCTACCACTGCTTATTCTGAGAGGTTTCTGAAGCTTATTCTTGAGGCACACACATAATCAATGATATAATCAAAATGACACTGCACAGGGGTCCCTGCCAGTGTCTGCAGTATTTTCCTATCAAGAAAACGTTATTTCCAAGTCAGAAACGTTACTTTTTGGTTAACCTTGGTGAGAGCTTTTAAGGCCATACTCTCACCTGATCGGTCACTATCTTACTCACAACCAAGGTAGTTCACGGCATCTTCGGCTGTAACCACTGTGTCTATCGTAGACTACAGAAGACTATGTCTCTAGTAGAATACAGAAGACTGTGTCTATAGTAGACTACAGAAGACTGTGTCTATAGTAGAATACAGAAGACTGTGTCTATAGTAGAATACAGAAGACTGTCTATAGTAGAATACAGAAGACTGTGTCTATAGTAGACTACAGAAGACTGTGTCTATAGTAGAATACAGAAGACTGTGTCTATAGTAGAATACAGAAGACTGTGTCTATAGTAGAATACAGAAGACTGTGTCTATAGTAGAATACAGAAGACTGTGTCTATAGTAGAATACAGAAGACTGTGTCTATAGTAGAATACAGAAGACTGTGTCTATAGTAGAATACAGAAGACTGTGTCTATAGTAGACTACAGAAGACTGTGTCTATAGTGCGCCAAGATGTTACAGTAAGAGGGGAAACTAAAGTAGTTTAGTCAGATCATTTTCTTAGGTAGCTGTATCTTGTGTTCATCTGCCAGCAGCATACCACACTGCATCCCACTGCTGAAAAGCATTAATGGTGGATGAGGTAAGTTTGTAAAGCACTTTGAGCACCTAGGTGGAAATTAGGTTTAGGTGGTAAGTCTAACCCTATGTACACTTTAGGGCTAGACTTACTGCTTAAAGCTAGTCCAGTTAAAATGTTGCTCCATTACCACCTGCCATGGCCATCCACCCCTGGTGGGAGCAGCTCCTAGTGCTAATCCAAACCCTGAGTTTCAGTGATGTTCCTAATCTCTGGTCATCAGCCCCTCTCATCCTGTTAGCTTGTTAGCCCCTGCTAGCTCAGGTGAACACTAATTGGCTAGAGGATTGGGGTTGCACAAACTCACCAACTGGAACTAGCAAGTATTTCATCCAGTGTTTGCTTTATCACTGTGTTGGAACAAAGACCTGCATGCACACACCAGGACTACAGTTGACCTAACGATTACTATATGGACTACAATAGCTACCTAAAACTAATTCCAGTAATCATCCCAAACCAGAGGAGGCTGGTGGGGGGAGCTATAGGAGGATTGGCTCATTGTGATGTCTGGAATGGAATAAATGGAACGGTATCAAACACATCAAACATGAAAACCACATTTGACTCTGTTCCATTCATTCTATTCCTCCTATTGCTCATCCCACCAGCCTCCTCTGTCCCAAACATAGAGTCACCCAACCCAACCTCAACTTAACTCTCTTCCAGTAATTCTCTTCTCTTCCAGTAATCATCCCAAACATAGTCACCCAACCCAGGAGAGTAATTGCAGGACTGGTGAAGCTGTTTAAAGACATGAAAGCCCCATCCTCTTCAATCAGAACAATCCCAGTATTTGTATAAAACTGATACTGACGTATTTGTATAATACTGATATAATTATGTTCGTAGTGAATATGTTCATGGATGCTCTGTGTAGCTACAATGTCATGTTTATTATGTTCTTATTGACGTGTTATGTATGCTTTATGAACACACATTTAAATAATATATATCTTAAATGTGCTGTAGCAGTTTGAAGTTGGTGTTAAACAACATAATTCTATGATTCTAACATTGCAATTTTATGTTCACCACATTCTGTATGAAAAACTTCACATCCCATACCTAAACTATAGCCTACCTAAATACTATGACCCAGATCAGAGAAGGGCCAATTTATCTCAATTTACCTGCAGAAGCTGTTAACATCGCCAGGGCAAAAACACAGAGCATCAATCCCCTCATTTCAGAAATAAATCCTTAAAACTATCCAGAGAAGGGCCAGTTGAGACCACAAAACAAGGAGTGTCCCTGAGGAAGTCAATGAGCTCCATATTGACAGTAGGAGCAGGCACCCCTGTAGCAAGAATTGGATTAAGACGCATTATACCTGTTTATTCTCACAGACCAATCACTGTTGTTGTCAGAGGCCGCACTGCGCAGTGGGCCAGCCATCCGGAGCAGAGACGTAAAGATATAGGCTCTCTATAAGCTGTCTATATATATATGGCTCTGATCCGGAGCATGTTATTGCAGTGGTGGAAAAAGTACCCAATTGTCATACATGAGTAAAAGTAAAGATACCTTAATAGAAAATGACTCGAGTAAAAGTGAAAGTCACCCAGTAAAATACTACTTGAGTAAAAGTCTAAAAGTATTTAAATATACTTTAGTATCAAAAGTAAATGTAATTGCTAAAATATACTTAAGTATCAAAAGTAAAAGTATAAATAATTTAAAATTCCTTATATTAAGCAAACCAGACGGCATGATTTTCTTGTTTTTTAAATTTACAGATAGCCAGGGCAAACTGGTAAATAGTAAAGTAAAGTACAGATACCCCAAAACACTATTTAAGAAGTACTTCAAAGTATTTTGTCCCACCCTGACTTATGGGACTCTTGTATGTTGAGTCAGGGTGTGGAGATCTATGTAATTATTTCTATGTTCACATTCTAGTTATTGTATTTCTATGTTTGGCCGGGTGTGATTCCCAATCAGAGGCAGCTGTCGCTCGTTGTCTCTGATTGGGGATCATACTTAAGTTGCCTGGTTGCAATCATTAGTTGTGGGATCTTGTTCCGTGTTAGAGGCTTGTATTGTGTTTAGCCTTAGGACTTCACTTTTCGTTGGTTTGTTGTTTTGTTGTGGTGTTTATCAGTAAATAAACATGTATGCCTTTCACGCTGCGCCTTGGTCTGACCCGTCCTTCAACATCTTTGACAGAAGATCCCACCAAACACGGACCAAGCAGCGTGCCCAGGACACAGGTGGGGAAGATTTGGTCTTGGGAGGAGATATTTGCGGGGAAAGGACCCTGGGCGAAGGTGGAAGCCCAGGTAGGAGAGGAGCAACGGCAACACAGAAGGCGCCGGCCGAGGAGGAAGCCCGAGAGGCAGCCCCAATAATTATTTTTTGGGGGGCTAAAGGAGTGGTCTGTTTGGGGGGGGCTAAAGGAGTGGTCTGTTTGGGGGGGGCTAAAGGAGTGGTCTGTTTGGGGGGGGCTAAAGGAGTGGTCTGTTTGGGGGGGGGGGGGGCTAAAGGGGTGGTCGGGGAGCGAGAGAGAAGAGCCCCGACCACTGCACCTGGTGGGTTTCCAGGTTGAGTCCCTACGACCATGGGAACAAGAGTGGGAACAGTTTTATACTGAGGAGTCGGAGGATGACGACGACGATGAGTTTCTGTTCCCTAACTCGTGGGGGCTCCCGGAGGAGTCCTCACTGGAGGAAGATTGCCGAGAGAGAGAGAAGGATCGGATCTGCAGGGTAAGAGAGGAGGCCACCACATTACGGGGGCTGATAGCGAGAATAGAGCGGGAGAGCTCCATTCAAGAGGAGGCACTGCAGGAGGCTCGTAGGAAGAATGAGGAAGTAGATGCATGGAGAGAGGAGCTGGTCAGGCAACATAAGGAGCGTGGGTTAATTGAGGAACCCATGTATGCGGAGATACGCACTGTATCGCCAGTGCGCATACACAGCCCAGTGCGTTCTGTGCCAGCGCCCCGCACGTGTCGTGCGAAAGTGGGCATCCAGCCAGGACGGGTTGTGCCAGCTGTACACTCCAGACCTCCAGTACGCCTCCAAGGTCCAGTATATCCTGCTCCGGTTCTACGCACTGTGTCACCAGTGCGCCTCACCAGTCCTGTACGGCCCGTACCTGCTCCTCGCACCAAACCAGTGGTGCGTGTATCCAGCCCGGTACGCCCCGTACCTGCTCCCCGCACCAAGCCAGTGGTGTGTGTCCCCAGTCCGCCCTGGCCCATTCCTGCTCCTCGCACCAGACCAGTGGTGCGTGTTCCCAGTCCGGCCCGGCCCGTTCCTGTTCCTCGCACCAAGCCAGTGGTGCGTGTCACCAGCCCGGTACGACCCGTACCTGCTCCCCGCACCAAGCCAGTGGTGTGTGTCCCCAGTCCGGCCCGGCCCGTTCCTGTTCCTCGCACCAGACAAGTGGTGCGTGTTCCCAGTCCGGCCTGGCCCGTTCCTGTTCCTCGCACCAGGCCAGTGGTGCGTGTTCCCAGTCCGGTATGGCCCGTGCCTGCTCCCCGCACCAAGCTAGTGGTGTGTGTCCCCAGTCCGGCCCGGCCCGTTCCTGCTCCTCGCACCAGACCAGTGGTGCGTGTTCCCAGTCCGGCCCGGCCTGTTCCTGTTCCTCGCACCAGGCCAGTGGTGCGTGTTCCCAGTCCGGTACGGCCCGTGCCTGCTCCCCGCACCAAGCTAGTGGTGAGTGTTGCCAGTCCGGCCCGGCCCGTTCCTGCTCCTCGCACCAGACCAGTGGTGCGTGTTCCTAGTCCGGTCCGGCCCGTGCCTGCTCCTCGCACCAGACCAGTGGTGCGTGTGTCCAGTCCGGCACGGCCCGTGCCCGTTCCACCGGTGCCTGGTCCGGCACCGGTCAGCTGCTACACTCCGGAGCCAGAGCAGTCCACTCCACCGGTGCCAAGTCCAGCTCCGGTCAGCGGCTCCATTCCGGAGCCAGAGCAGTCCGTTCCACCGGGGTCGAGTCCAGCTCCGGTCAGCAGCTCCACTCCGGAACCAGAGCAGTCCGCTCCACCGGTGCACAGTCCAGCTCCGGTCAGCAGCTCCACTCCGGAGCCAGAGTAGTCCGCTCCACCGGTGCATAGTCCAGCTCCGGTCAGCAGCTCCACTCCGGAGCCAGAGTAGTCCGCTCCACCGGTGCCAAGTCCAGCTCCGGTCAGCGGCTCCAGTCTAGACCCAGACGTCAGCCCCTCTCCAGGTTCGGGGTCTCCCACACCAGGGCCCAGACAGGGCTTGGTGCATCGTGGGAGGAAGGAGAGGGGAAGCAGCGCACCGAGGTCCAGACCAGACCAGGGGCGCAACGGGGAGGCTGAGAGAATGTGGTCGTCACGCCCGGAGCCGGATCCGCCTCCGAGGCGGAATGCCCACCCGGACCCTACCCTGTTATGTCAGGTTTGTGCGGTCGGAGTCCGCACCTTTGGAGGGGGGGTACTGTCACACCCTGACTTATGGGACTCTTGTATGTTGAGTCAGGGTGTGGAGATCTATGTCATTATTTCTATGTTCACATTCTAGTTATTGTATTTCTATGTTTGGCCGGGTGTGATTCCCAATCAGAGGCAGCTGTCGCTCGTTGTCTCTGATTGGGGATCATACTTAAGTTGCCTGGTTGCAATCATTAGCTGTGGGATCTTGTTCCGTGTTAGAGGCTTGTATTGTGTTTAGCCTTAGGACTTCACTTTTCGTTGGTTTGTTGTTTTGTTGTGGTGTTTATCAGTAAATAAACATGTATGCCTTTCACGCTGCGCCTTGGTCTGACCCGTCCTTAAAAGAACGTGACATATTTTTACTTAAGTACTTTACACTACTGTGTTATTGTAAAGCTAAGACATTTAATTAACCAATCGGCTCAGACAAAGAACTGTCTGTAACTAGTCTGGGCTGGATTTTGAGTAGTTACTACTATTCACTAGCTCATGAAAATATCTGTACTTCCCCCCATATTAAACTAACACATTAGCATCATCAGAGAGAATGTCTTTTGGGAAACAGCTGTTGGATGCTTAGAAATGCTCTTTATGTGGGATCTAAATACTTGTTTATTTGATTTCAACTATATTTTGACAGGGAGTCATGCTGAGACCAAGGCCTATTTTACAGATGAGCCCTATACTTACAAAAATACACTACGAAAAGCCAAAAATATGGATTTAAAGCTACAAAGGATAGAACAGATAGAGAGTATTAGGTTATCTCACAGGGCACTGGAAAAAAAGCCTATTATACTTCATTATTTAATGAACATGTTTAAACACCACAAAGGGAATAATAAGATGTCCTAAATCAACGTTGAGGGTTAGATGTCCATTAGTAATCTGTACTTGACTGAATGTTCTACCACATGGCGCTATTGAAATCCTACTTTATGTGAAGATAGACTCACAGCAGGTGTTGTTGTGTGGGTCACAGGTGTCCCAGGTGTTGTTGGGTGGGTCACAGGTGTCCCAGGAGTTGTTGCTGTGCCAGATTGAAACACTAACTTGAGATCCTGACTATCTACTGATCAATGGGAGATTTGCACAAAGTTGTGATTTGCATGTGCAGATCTCAGGTTAGGATTCAGCCCTCTGGTCCTGTAACCCCAGTAGGGTCTCCCCCCTCGGTAACACACGTGTCTGACTCAGCGAGGAGGAGTTAAGCAGCTTAGAGACAGTGCTCCCAGTCCCACCAGGCGGACATGTATCTGCAAAGCAGGGGGGGTTACAGTACAGATCCTGCATAAACTCTAATAAACTCTATGTATGACTGACAGTAGAGGGAGACTAAAACAACTGTCCTGTATGTGGGATTGTGTAACACAAAGACAGACTGAGACAGTTAAACAAACCTAGGCAACAGCAAGAGCAGAAATCTCTGTGTGGGACAGAGAGGGTGTGTGCGTGTGCGCCCGTTTGTGTGTGCATGTGTGTGTGTGTGTGTGTGTGTGTGTGTGTGTGTGTGTGTGTATGTATGCGTCTGTGTGTGTTATGGAAGGCCATAGGTGGAGCATTGTGAGAGTAAGGGTTAGGGTCAGGCAGGGATTACATGTGAATTTAATGTTCAGGATTACAGCCCAGCAATCAAACACTGACTGAACACATAACTCAGCCGCTGCATTACTAAACTCACAAAAACACATACCTCCCAGTATTAGTATAGTCAGAAGACAGAAACCAAGTAATGGTTTATCCCTGGTAATGTCACTTGTGGTGAACTGGGGTTAATGGGTTCAAAAACAGAAAGAGACGTGTGAGGTTTACCATGCGTGAAAGCATGCATGCGGTTGTGTGTGTGTGTGTTGTGCCTGTGTGAGGTGTAGATGTGTCTGGCCGTGCAGGGCAAGGCAGTCTTGGCGTTCATCACTAATCTCGATGGCATTATCACAGCATGTGTCTGAACAACAGAGGAAATACTCTGCAGTCCTGAAACACCAATAAAAAACTCTCAGTCTGTTCCACAGCATAATTAGAGACTGGAGGAGAACACTCAGGACAATTAAAATCACCCTCCCTCTCCCTCCTCCTCCTCCTCCTCCCCCTTTTACTGCATCTGTGGGCTCTATTCAATCAAACCCACAGTCTAACATCCTAATGGTTTTGGGTACTGTAAAAACAAAAGGTTTGTTGCATACATGCTGTAAAGATATACTTCATACATGTTCTGCAAACAAAGACTACCAACTGGGCACATTTGGTTGAGTTGTCAGCTAACGTGAATTCAACGTGAAATCAACAAAACAAATTCACCATGACATTGTATTTAGGTTAAAAGTTGGGTGGGAAAAGGACGCAATTTCCTTACGTTGATGACTTTTTGCAAATGTTTTGCTGAAATGACGTGGAACAACGTGGACTCAACCAGTTTTTGCCCAGTGGGTAGTAACATCTCTATCTCAAGTAAAGATTAGAGTAAGCATGTGGACAGCCAACTGTGAGAAGGCATTCACTTTATTTTCATTGCTATGATTTCTGTCCAGCTCCTGAGCCAAGTTTGGGTGTGTGTAAACAGAAACCCTAAAGGAGAAGAGCCGTGACAAACAGTCACTAATATTAGATACAACTTTGAGTTACAGTTAAAACAACAGCATGAATCAAAGTTCTCCAAAGTAGCCTGTTTCATAGCGGAATGTCTGGTCGTATTTAGTGTGTGTGCGTACATGTATGTGTGCGTGTGCGTGCGTGCATGTATGTGTGCGTGTGTGTGTGTGTGTGTGTGTGTGCATCATTCAGGATGGCACCACAGTCACTGTCTGCAGTGGAATCCTCTCCAAGCCCAAATACGGTCAAACCACCCTGAGAGAGACTTTACTATACAACAACAAGCTGACGTCACCTAGCCCTGTCTCCCCCTGGCCCTGCCTGTCCTAGAGGGGTAGAGAGAGATGGCCAACACACTCCACTGCATCTACAGGCTATAGACACCACAGAGAGAGATGGAGAAATATGTGGTGCATTTATTTAGAAAACCGTGTACAGATGTGAGTGAGTACAGTAATGTCTCCGAGTTCGTGAATAGAGTAGATAGGGGAGCCTGTCTGCACGTTATAGTTGATCTCACTGGAGTTACAGGAGTCAGAGTACACAGAGGAGGGAGCGGGGGAGGGACAGGAGGAGGGGGGGTCCTGGTGGTGCAGGACTGTGGTCAGCAGGGTTGACCCCTCCTTCCCCCCCACCTCTCTGACTCTTTCTTCACCCCCCTGTCCCTCTCTCTGTCCCTCCCCTGGCAGCAGTGAGCTCAGCTCCCCCACAGAGAGAACATTCAACTCTGACCCCTCCTGTCTAGGCACTCTGGGAGGCAGGGGGGGCAGGCACTCCTCAGGGAGAGGGGAGTGTCTGTCTGAGGGTTCTCTCTGGTTCCCCTGTTCCACATCCTCATAATCACGGTTCTCCCGGCGCCGTTCCCTTGTTTTCTTCCGTTTGCGTTTCCCCTGCTCCTCAGGGTTCTCAAGGTTCTCACGCTCTCGGTTCTCGCGGTCCCGGTTCTCGTACAGCAGGGTTCCGGCACAGATGAAGATGAACAGGCCGACGCCCATCACGACAGGGCCGAGCAGTTTCATTCGCTCGCTGTGGGAGCTGCCTCGCCCACCCACAGGGTTAGGGGTGGAGCTTGCATACCCGGCCACGGCCACAAACATTCCCACCATCACCACGACAACGCCCGCTAGCAGCCACGCCCCAGGAGGGGAGCGGAGGCGGAGTCTGACTTTGAGCTCATCCTTCTGTCGCTGTGGGAAGCAGAGTGGGCGGGGCCATGTGGTTTGTAGGCAGGTTGTTTCAGGTGAGTGGGAGGAGTCTTGGGTGCAGACAGCGTTGACCGCTCCAGTGGACCCCGCTACTGTCATCCTCTACCACAGACTGGATAGACAGAGAGAGGACAAGGACAGGAGAGAGAGAGAGGACAAGGACAGGAGAGAGAGAAAGAGAGAGGACAAGGACAGGAGAAAGAGAGAGGACGAGGACAGGAGAAGTAATGGGGAAGAGAAAGGGGTTCAATCAGAGGGAGAGAAAAAAGACGGGGGAAAGGGTGGGGTGGAGAGAGAGGGATTGTTGAGAGTTCACTTTGTAAACAACAGGAAATGACAGAGGTGATAAGAACCCCAGGAGTTAATGAGATGCTGTATGTGAGTCTCTCATGCCTCCTTCTAAACTCCACTCTAGACTACCCTATACACAAGCCCGTTCACTGTAGCCGTCACATTTAAACTCGAACTAAATATTCCACAATAGCCTAAGGAAATACTAAAATAACGCACTGTCAAGACAAACATATCAATGGCGTCCAATTCTGAGCTAAATGGATAATATATGGTCCCAGAGGTAACAGTCAATTGACCCAGTCCCAGATGTGGCTTCTATTAGATTTCACATAAAGTCATTTCGTCTGATTTGGGTCTTTCCTTGAAAATAACATTCACTCATTCCGTCACTTCAACAGGGAACATTAATGCAAAAAAACAAGACATTTAGTAAAGAAGTTCAGAAATTGTAGATTTTACATACAATTATATTAATGATGGCATTAACATCAGTCAAAAACGTTCACCGAAGGTTCGACCTTGTGCAACATTGTAGCAGACCCTCGACAACTTTTCTCGAGGGAGCAGAGTTGCGTTGTCCGATTCCCGATACAAAGTAACGGTAATCTTTTTATTAATGGGTATCTGACACTAAATCCTTTTTGACATTAGGGATGTCTGAATAATGTTAAAAGTAAGTCAACACTATTGACAAAATACAAACAAAAATGAAAAAGTAACACTTGCTTTTCATATGCTGCGCTCAGATTTTCGATAACATTCCGATAATGGTTACTTGTCTCGATTTGGCTGTTGCTCCGTCGTGGACATTTCTTCGTCGCTCCTGTTGCTGACATATCTAAAACTATTTTCTCAACATGATGACCTTTATTTCTTTTGTCCCTACATTCATATGATCAATGTTGACTCTTCAGCACCCTCTTTAAATGTTTTCCCGGAGTTTCACCCCTCGACCAGGCTGCATATTAACATCTATCCAGCCTTGGTTTTAAGCGGCGAATAGGCTACAACGGCGCATGCGGGATCTTGGTCCTCATAAATTCCCGATGAGTAAATAGGCCTAAATGTTTCAGTTGCATTTTGACTTGACTCTATACTATGCGCACACTTTGCTTTTTGGAATACAGTTTGATGTTTCAGAAGCACTAAGTCAGAGTATAAAGCTCGGTGTGTGTGTTTTTGGTTTTACTATCCTTGTACTATCCAACTAGGGACATTTTGCTGGACCCCACAAGGAAAAAGGCTATTTTAGGTTTAGGGGTTGCAGTTAGAATTAGGGAATAGGTCTAGGGGGTTAAGGTTAGGGAAAATAGGGTTTTGAATGGGAATCAATTGTTTGGTCCCCACAAGGATAGTTAAACAAACATGTGTGTGTTAGTAAGATATGCTGTGTCTGGTTGTGTGGCTGAGGGGTCGTGGGAATCTTTGGCTGGTTTGGGCCACTCCCACAGTGATCCTAGTAGTTATTATTAGTTAGAACAGCAGAATACTTGGGGGGGGGGGGGGGGGGGCATCAGAGTGAAGAAGGGAGGAGAGAAGAATTGATAAATAGAATGGTGTGGGGCTGGATGGAGAAAGGTTTATGACATAACCAGGTGTGTGCTGGGACGGGACAGGTGTGTGCTTAGGTGTGGCATCAGTTCCTGTGAATCTGAGGCAGTAACAGGATACAGACATACATCATACACAGGTAATGAGGACTACAGATCAGTTGGTTAAGTCTTCAGAATGACGATAACCAAGCGCTCAGGCGGTGCACATGTAGAAAATTACAACACCAAAGACTGTATTTCATTGATTCCATTCCACTCACACACACACTCCAGCAAACACAAGCAAACATGCACCTTCACAACTGACACCATCTCACAAGTCAACAGCACTTATCAATCCCCCTTAAATTAAAATACATAAATACCGGTTTTGAATATAAACAATATTGATAAAACACATTTAAGCTCATTGCAACACACTTCCAAGGTATCACAAGGATGACATTGACAAAAAATCTTTAAAAGATTAATTCCTCAATTCAATTAAAAAAAATACATTTTTCATTTCTTGGAAAAGATTGGTATTGATTTGCATAAGCTTCCAAAGAACCACTTCTTATTGGGATGCAGGGTGTCACGACCCCAGAGCTATAATACACTATTTACACTGCGTACACAATAGATCAATCAGACCAAATGAAACAGTAAACAATATTCACTCAGAACACATTGATGATTTTCTTTTCTTTCCTTTTTTACATTCCAACTTCATTATCGTTTGACCATTATCTCTTAAGCAGGTCCACAGAAAAACATCTCTCTTCAGCTGAATTAGTCCTGAAGTCCAGCATTCCTTAAAGTTCCAATGCTATAACATTTGCCCTTTTAAATAAACATCTGACTGACACACACATACACACACAAATCAATCCTCTCCCTCCCTCCACCCAAGCCTTGAGCCGTGCCAACCTCTTCCTGCCTTGGACCTGTAGAGACGTATCCATCTGATGGAGAGAGGTAGAACTACATGGTGCTTTTCTCTCACAACAAAAAAATAAATCAAGAAGTATTCAAGCAAAAACATGTACTGACTATTCTTGTTCCATTTGCTCAGGGCTGAGCATCATTTCCTCACAATTTAAAATAAAAACAGATATTTAAAAATAATAATATTAAAAGGTAGACTCAGCGGTATGACGTAGATGCAGAAAGTAAACAGCATAGTGGGTCAATTTCCGCAACAACTAAGAGCGTTGAAGCGCGAGGCTCAACTTCTCCGCTGTTTTGCTTCCCGGTAGCCAGGGAACAGCGTGAAACGAACCCATGCACATGTGCAGATCACAGGAGGCTGCTGATGGGAGGACGGCTCATAATAATGTCTGTAATGGAGTAAATGCAATGGTATCAAACACATGGAAACCATGTGTTTGATGAGTTCAATGCCATTCCACTATTCCGTTCCACCATTACAATGAGCCCGTCTTCCCCAATTAAGGTGCCACCAACCTCCTGTTCCGCAGATACTATGTGTGAGAGCGAAGTCTTGCATCTCGCTCATCTCAATATCTGTGGAGCTGCTCGTGGCAACATCATTTCGCTGAGTCTAACTTCAAATCGAATTCAATATCAATAGTTTTAAGATGCCCACTACTCATTTCTTATTCATTCAGAAAACAAACATTTAAGTTAAAGGGGCAATCTGCAGTTGCTATATACATTTTTGGACATATAAATGAATGATATGTACCCATTGATTCTTGAAGAATATCTTATAAATGCCTCATGAGCTTAGTTCAACAGTCGTACCCCATCAGAACCCAAAATATAAGATTGTTTTACTTCAATGTTGGTAAACAACGTAAATGTAAACAAACACTGTATAGCCTCAAAACATGGTTAAAACTATAATTTTGATGATGGTTCTGTCTATGAATTTGAGTGGTAACATTTCTCCAGCCCCATCCCTCAGCTTTCGGCCAAAACAGTGGTGGGGTCATCGCTTTAATATTGTTTCAACTCAGGATTGCCCCTTTAAATTATAATTGTTGTTATGTTACAGTATAAAACACTTTCTTGGGTTGTCTGTGCCATCTGTCTGACAGGTAAGATCTCAATTGCATACTCCTCGCGTCCTCTCTCCTCGTCTCCTTCTGAAAACCCATTGGAGAAGTTCAGAGGGGCGGGACCTCTGGCTTTCTCATCCAATGGGTTTTGAGAAGGAGACGAGGAGAGAGGACGCGAGGAGTATGCAAATGAGATCTTCCCACAGACACCGCAGGTACATCCTCTCTGTATCCTCTCTATTCCTCTACACTGACGTGCAAGAACTGGATAGGTGAAAGCAGATTCCTGGTGGGCATCCATCACGTTGCTCTGACCTATCCTACGGCTCTGATCAGTGCAGATGAAGATAATAATAATAATAATAATAATAATAATATGCCATTTAGCAGACGCTTTTATCCAAAGCGACTTACAGTCATGTGTGCATACATTTTTACGTATGGGTGGTCCCGGGGATCGAACCCACTACCTTGGCGTTACAAGCGCCATGCTCTACCAATTGAGCTACAGAGGACCACAAGATCAAAGGGGATAAGGTAAGGAGGCAAGGAAAGGAGATGAAACTTCTCTAGACTATTGAGATACAGCGGTCGGGTATGGGAGGAAGTGAAGCGTGAGGGTGCGTCTCACTCCTCATCAGCGTTCTTCAGCATGAGTATGGCGTTGTATATCTTGAGGGCGGGGCCTAGTTTGATTGACAGGATCTTGACTATGTCTGCTTGGGTGAGAAGCAGGAAGGCCTCTCCGTCTATTTGCTGGAGCGATACACAGAGACACAGAATAAGCTCCAACACAGAACGTGTGTGTGAGTGTTTGAATGTCAATGGCAGAATTTAATTTCACTTGGTTGCATTGTCATAGGATACACCAACCAGGAGCAGCAAATGAGAGGAGTGTGTGTGACTATCCTGATTCACACAGTTGGAGTTTGAAGTGGTAGTTCTTACCTCTGTCCTGAAGGTGGCAGCGTGCTCTTTGCAGCCCGGGAGCCCTTTGACAAAACTGGCCACCTGACCAACAGGGAAACAAACATTAACACACACACACACACACATAAATAAATAAAAACGCAATAGGATACACAAAGCTATTGTATTGGCTGTATGTGTAATGTATGTGTTTTGCACAATATGTGGTCCTCTGTAGCTCAGCTGGTAGAGCACGGCGCTTGTAACGCCAAGGTAGTGGGTTCGATCCCCGGGACCACCCACACACAAAAATGTATGCACGCATGACTGTAAGTCGCTTTGGATAAAAGCGTCTGCTAAATGGCATATTATTATTATTATATGTGAGTTTGTATAGTATGCGTACAGTGTGCCTGTACATGTTTGTATTGCTTATGTCCTCATGTGTGCGTGTCTGACCTCGTCAGCGGTCCAGGTTGCAACTCTCTTAGCAGTGAGGCCCAGGACCTCAGGGAGCAGCTGGCAGTGTTTGTCCCAGCACAGAGCCACCCTGTGAGGGGGAGAGGAGGAGCCACCTGGGGAGAACACTGACTCATGGAGTGCCTGCTGGAGAGACAGGGGGTCTGGGGGAGAGGGAGGAGAATTGAGCTGTTCATATCTTCAATAGACATGCACAGATAATATATAAACCACACAGCGTTACACCCATTCTCTATTTCTGGGAGGAGAACCTCTACCTTTCCCATCTCCACTCTCCTGCTTGACCAAGTGCAGCTTCAGATACTTTGGGACTGGAGCAGACCTGCTGAAATACAACATACAGTGCCTTCAGAAAGTATTCACACCCCTCAACTTTTTCCACATTTAGTTGTGTTACAGCCTGAATTTAAAATTATTAAAATGAGATTTTTTTGGTCACTGGCCTACACACAATACCCCATAATGTCAAAGTGGAATTATGTTAAAATGTATGAAATGTCTTGAGTCAATAAGTTGAGGAGTAAAAATGTGCTTAACAAGTCACAAAAATAAGTTGGATGGACTCAATCTGTGTGCAATAATTGTGATTAACATGACTTTTGAATGACTACCTCATCTCTGTACCCCACACATACAATTATCTGTAAGGTCCCTCAGTCGAGCAGTGAATTTCACACACAGATTCAACCACAAATCCAGGGAGGTTTTCCAATGCCTCGCAAAGAAGAGCACCTACCGGTGGATGGGTAAAAAAAAAAAAAAAAGCAGACATTGAATATCCCTTTGAGCATGGTGAAGTTATTAATTACACTTTGGATGGTGTATCAATAGACCCAGTAACTACAAATATACAGGCGTTCTTCCTAACACAGTTGCCGGAGAGGAAGGAAACCGCTTAGGGATTTCACCATGAGGCCAATGGTGACTTAAAACAGTTACAGAGTTTAATGGCTGTGATAGGAGAAGGATGGATCAACAACATTGTAGTTACTCCACAATACTAACCTTACTGACAGAGTGAAGGAAGGAAGCCTGTACATAATACAAAAATAATCCAAAACATGCATTCTGTTTGCAACAAGTCACTAAAGTAGTACTGCAAAAAATGTGGCAAAGCAATTCACTTTATGTCCTGAATACAAAGTGTTATGTTTGGGGCAAATCCAATACAACACATTACTGAGTACCACTCTCCATATTTCAAGCATAGTGGTGGCTGCATCATGTTATGGGTATGCTTGTAATCGTTAAGGACTGGGGAATTTTTCAGGATAAAAAAGAAACGTAATGGAGCTAAGCACAGGCAAAAATCCTAGAGGAAAACCTGGCTCAGTCTGCTTTCCACCAGACACTGGGAGACAAATTCACCTTTCAGCAGGACAATAACCTAAAACACATGGCCAAATCTACACTGAAGTTGCTTACCAAGAAGACAGTGAATGTTCCTGAGTGGCCGAGTTACAGTTTTGACTTAAATCTACTTGAAAATCTATGGCAAGACCTGAAAATGGTTGTCTAGCAATGATCAAGAACCAATTTGACAGAGCCTGAAACATTTTTGCAAAGAATAATGGCCAAATGTTGCACAATCCAGGTGTGGAAATCTCTCAGAGACCCAGAAAGACTCAAAAACTGTAATCGCTGCCAAAGGTGCTTCTACAAAATATTGACTCAGGGGTGTGAATACTTATGTAAATGCAACATTTCTGCATTCATTTTCAATAAATTAGCAAACATTTCTAAAATCATGTTTTCACTTTGTCATTATGGGGTGTTGTGGGTAGATGGGTGAGAAAATCTAATCCATTTTGAATTCAGGCTGTAACACAACAACATGTGGAATAAGTCAAGGGGTATGAATACTTTGTGAAGGCACTGTACTCTCTTAGTAAACCAACAAAAAACACTCTGCTCCAACATGCATTTCAGAGTTTGGTAGGAGAGAGGAGTGTGTGCCTTACCTCTTGGCCTTGGCTCCGTCGTGGCTGGGCTCGGTTGAGCCCCCTGGTGGCTCACTCTGACTGCTGCACCCGGATCGTTCGCCCTCGACAACCGTTGGCCCCCCTAGTAACACTACCATAGAAACAACTGTTGCCATAGAAACAACTCCACAACTCCAGACTTGATTTGCAGTACGATAACAAAAGAAGGCACTGAAGCAGAGCTCTCCAAACCCCTTCTGTTACATGTTCCACACGTACCTGGTCTGAGGGGAGTGGTCTGCAGGCTCGGGCTGCTCTGGCGTGGTGGGGGTGTTTGTCTGGGTGTGTGAAGGAGGGTCTGGCCGTCGCCCACGGTGATGAGGCCCACTCAGGGTCATAGGTCGTTCTCCACTCAGACGGTCTGGTACCTGGCCCTCCCTGTTCAGGTTCATCTCAGAGTACGGACAGCTCACCCCTCTACACACACACACACACACAAACACTACTAGTTCAGAACAGGAACACACATCACCTTGCTCACAGATCACAAGTCATTGTATGACGTGTTTTGATAACAAAACTATTTTGACAGTTTGTGTGTGTGTGTGTGTGTGTTACTGACGTGTAGTGGGTTCCGTAGCGGGGTCCTCGGATGTGGCCAACCCCATTGCATCCTGGGGTAGGACAGCCCTGCCCTGGGAGGACCAGCATATCAGTAGAGCCTGAAACACACCGCAGAGTTACTACTATTAGCTAGTACTACACACCACACACACACCACATACACACAGAGACAGAAACATCAGAGAGAGTGACCTGACCACACACACAGACATACACTAAATAGTGTTTATGTCCCCATAAACCGACAGCTAGCTACAGCAGCTGTGTAGAACCAGCATCATTTTAACTACACATTTTTTTCTGCATGCCACTTCTTGCAAACCTTACACTTTGGGACTGGTTGGAAAATATTTGTGGGTTTTAGCAAAGTCATGACCATGTCGATTTTTTGGAAGTGTGTGTGTGTCTCACCATTGGGGGGGTGTTGTAGGGGATGACTAGTCTTCTGACACCAGCCCACAGGGTGCAGGTCTGGGCAGTCAGCGTCCACCCAGTAGTCATACTCCTCACTCCAGCCATCAAAATGGATCTGAGAAAGACAGACAGGGTTACACACACACTACTCCACAATAATCATACTGCACTCTCACACACAGCGTACCCTCAGTCGGTGGTCCTCCACCTCGGCGATGGTTGTTACACGGATGAGCATGGGGTTCCTCTTATCGACGGCTTCCAGCTTCATTCCAGCCTGGAACCCATGGCAGGGACGCTACAGGACACATTCAAGAGTTAACATCATGATTGATACAGATGGATTCATTTGCATATTTGTAGCTGATATAAATAAAGAACGTCAGACGACCCAGCACAGAGCCCAGGGGAACTCCATGTGAAAATCCCCCAGGCATCCCAATCAACACCAACAATGTAATTTGCATGTGTCACAGGTTTGAGTGTCAACTGTACGTGTGTTTGAGAATGTGTGTTTGTGTGTCTTACCAGTTTGAAGGCACGTGCAGGGACTGCCTGTGTCCCAGTCTCCTCCATGTATTTATCCCAGGAAAAACTCTTTGGGTGCTTATACTCTGAGAGGGGAAACCACAACACACCCTTATACAATGTTTTATGGTGTATCCAAATAAAGCGTTGAAATATGTTTTGTGTGTGTCTCACCAGCAGGGGTGGTGAGGGTTAGCTCAGCCTCCTCACAGTAGCCTACAGGGTGGATGTAGGGACTGCTGGCATCACACCAGTAGTCATAGGTGTCGTCCCAGTTGTCAAAGTGTATGAGGAGTCTGTTGTCAACAGCAGCCGCGATGGACGCTACGCAGATCAGATACGGATTCTTCTTATCCACCGCCTCCAGCTTCATACCCGCACGGAACCCTGACGGAGTCACCGACTACACCCACAAGCACCCACATAGTTCATGTACAAACTTACTTGAACAGACCTAAGGTCACCAACACAAACACACTGTTAATGGATCCACACAGGCTGTGAGGTAGGCTCACCGTGTTGAGGCTCTTGAAGAGGTGTTTGGGGGCCAGCTGACCTCTGCAGTTCTTCACATACATGTTCCAGTTGAACTCCCCATCCTTACAACCTAGACACAAAAGGTTGAAGGTTAAAGTTTTGTCCAGCAGCAATTGTGCAGTCGGTAGAATATGCAGTGGTGTGGTGGGTGGTCGGGGGGTGTGGTGTGTATGTGTGTTGGGGTGGTGGTGTGGGTGTGGGTGGTGGTATGTGGGTGTGGTGTGTGGTAGTGTGTGTGTGGGTGTGTGGTGGGGTGTGTGGGTGTGGTATGTGTGGGTGGTGGGTGTGTGGTGTGTGGTGTGTGGGTTGTAGGGTGTGGTGGTCGTGGGGGTGTGTGTGGGTGTGGGTGGTAGTGTGGTGTGTGGTGTGTGGTTGTGTTGGTGGTGTGTGAGGTGTGTGTGGGTGGTGTGTGTGTGTAGTGTGTGGGTGTGTGTATGTGTGTGGGTGTGTGTGTGTTGGTGTGTGAGGTTGTGTGTTGGGTGTTGTGTGTTGTATGTGTGGTGGGTTGTGTTGTGTGGTGTTTTGTGGTGTGTTGTGTGTGTTGTGGTTGTGTTGTGTGTTGAGTGTGTGTATTGTGTCTGGGTGTGTATGGTGGTGTGTGGTTATGTGTGTCTGGTGTGTGTGTTGTTGTGTTATTTATGTGTGAGGTGTGTGTGGGGTGTGTGTGTGTGTATGTGTGTCGGGTGTGTGTGTGTGTATGTGTGTGTGTGGACCTTTGGGCAGCAGCAGCTTGTGGCCCATCTTCTCACACCAGCCCGGGGGCTTTACATCCCAGGTGTCAGCATTTACCCAGAAGTCATAGCATTCTGGATAGCCGTCGAAATGAAGTCTTATCCTATAACCCTGGACCTGAGACAGAGAGAGAGAGAGGAAGGAACGCAAAGAAACGAGGGAAAGCAAAGGGTTAGTTGTTAGAAAACAGATTTCCCCCTATATTTTATTGGTCTGACCTGTTAAACAGACACATACCTCAGCAACACTGAGCACACAGAACAGAGAGGGGTGACAGGGGTCCAGTCCTTCTAACTTCATCCCCACTTTGAAGGCATTCCTGCTCTGAGGGAACGACTGGTGCTGCAGGACACACAGATAACACTCTTTGACACGTCTGTACAACTGTTTGTGGTGTGTGTCAGAGTGAGAGCGCATGATAAAGTGTATGTGCCACACCTCCTTGAACAGTTTAAGGGGGGCAGCTATAGCCTTCTCCTCCTCCAGGTAGGAGGGCCAGCTCCAGGGTCGCTTCTTATTGGGTGGGGCTGTCACTGGGGGTGGGACAACGAAACAGTCACCAATCAGTGACATGAAAACCAGCAGGATTGCAGCACTCATGACCCCTGGTCTACCTGATTGGACAAACTTTCTAGCCCTTGTCATGAACAACAAATCCATCCTCTCATCTATCCATCCTCTCATCTTATCCATCCTCTCATCTATCCATGCTCTCATCTATCCATCCTCTCATCTATCATCCTCTCATCTAGCATCCCTCCCATCTATCTATCCATCCCTCCATCCTCTTATCTATCCATCCTCTCATCCCTCCATCCTCTCATCTATCATCCCTCCATCTATCCATCCCTCCATCCTCTCATCTATCCATCCTCTCATCTATCCATCCTCTTATCTATCCATCCTCTTATCTATCCATCTATCCATCCTCTCATCTTATCCATCCTCTCATCCATCCATCCATCCTCTCATCTATCCATTCTCTCCCTCCCCTCATGTAATAATAGTACATACCTAGCTTGGCCAGCTTAGCAGCTCTCCTCCCTTTGACAACCTTGACCTTGTCCTGTAGAGAGCGAGACAGTGACACATCAGCAGGAGAGCTGCCACACACACACAACATTACTCTGCTTTCCAGGACCAGCGTTGGTGACATTTCTATCATCACCTCTTCCTCCTCCTGGTTGTCTTCCTCTTCATCACCAGAGTCCATGTAGATCTTCCTCTTTTTCCTCACTCTTTTCCCCAGTCCCCCCTCCACCCCCTCTCTCTCCCTCTGCTCCCCGGGAGATGACCTAAACACACACAGAACAGAGGTCATTCTGTGAACTATGCTCATGTGATGACTGTTTCGGTCTTAACTGTTACTACTATCAATATGCTTTCTAAAATACAGTACAGTAAGAATAGCTAACATCTTAGAGTGGGAGTCTTTACCTGCCACTGGAGGTCTGGACACAGATGGAGCTGCAGTATTTGCCCTGGAGGAAACTCTCCAGTGGTCCGGAACCCCCACACGACCTACAGCTAGCCATCGCAACCCTGGGGACCACCTCTGCACTGGAGCCCACCTCCGCACTGGGACCTACCTCGACACTGGGGCCCACCTCCACACTGGGCTCCTCCACAGTGGGACCCTCCTCTAGAGACAGAAGCACAGGGCCTTGAGCTGGGGGAAAGAGAAGAGTAATATTGAAGCTTTGTAGAATTCAACGTTGAATGTGGGAAATGTAATGGATTCTATGGCCCCATCTGCAGAGCACCCAGTATGTAGTATGTAATATACACAGTGCTGACATAGACTCATAGCTCTGATATAAATACTACACACCTGTATTATAAACAGTCATAACTATGTTATAACCCCTATGTAACCGTATGTTTACATTACCCTTAGGTGCAGGTGGCTGGACTTCCTTGGCTGCAGAGGAGGCTGCGCTGCTCTCTGATTGGGCCTCTGGTGGAGGGGTGGGCCTTTGCGACTGGGCGGGGTTCTGGGGGGCTAGCCCTGCCTCTTTGACCTCTGGCTCTGTCACGATCTCCAAAGTTCCAAACTCTGTCATACGGAACTGAGAGACACCAGTTAGTCACACACCTGTCTGTAGTATCCACACACACACTCACTCACTCACTCACACACACACACCGTACCTTGATGTCGCTGCCGGGCAGTGTGGCGATGCCGTCCTGCCAGTCCAGAGCGCCCATCATGTCAAACTCCGCCCCCTGGGAGGGGCCATCGCTGGGCGGGGTGTCAGTCATCTCTCCCTGCTCTCCTCCTCCTGCACTGACATCAATCAATTAAATCAGTCAGCCAGTCAATGGGCGTGTTCGAGCGGTCACCGCCTTTCAAAATGTGTTGCATTATGGGGATAAAAATTGTCTGACTTGTGCCTACATGTCGACTGCACGAACTTGACAAAAACCATGTGATCAAAGGTCATGCAGTTTTTGATTAAGTTGCATTCAAGTCGCTGCTGTTGCTTCTCACCAACTGCACCATGTGGCCGTCGTCTGGCTAGTGGGAGGAACTATAGGCACTGTCTGTCAACCAATCATTAGGATGTTTTTAGTTGACCCACATGAACGTGACCAAAGACGTGACTGAAACAGAAACCAACTTTGCTGCGATTCTAAAGCTATAGGGGATACTATGATATTTGAGACCTCTCTCTAACCAATTAATTGCACACGTTATGTTTTCAGTTTGTGAGTGTGTGATGAGGGTATAGAAAAGTTTATTTCGACATTTATAAAGAAAAACTTGTATATACAATAGCAGGTATGTTGACACTGCCATGTTGATCTGAGCCTTTCTTTTGGAAAACCATTACTAGGGCCGGGACGATACGATACTTGTTAGTATCATGGCAAGGAAACAAAGCACAAAGCCGTTTTAACTTCTTTAGGAAAGCAGCCCTATAGTTGGAAGCAAACGTCATTGTCATCCAGAGTCACATTTATTTATTTTCCAAGCTAGAACACAATATTTTACATACAGCAGGTTTTTAAAGAACCAAAGAATTTAGTCTGCTTCGTGTTTGAATTTTTGCATGGAAATAATATTGTGATACTGGTATTGCGATACACAGCCTAACCATTACAGTGTCTGACATTCTGCTGTCGCAGATGCACCTCCCCTGACTTTACTCGTTAACAGAATGTTTAGTTAGACTTACTACTCAAACACACCTAATCACTCAATAACCATACAGGTGTCACATCCAAATTACCTCGTACCCCAGCACTGGTACCCCGTGTATATAGCCAAGTTATCGTTAATCATTGTGTATTTTTTCCTTGTGTTATTATGTTTTCTATTACTTTTCTATTTTTCTCTCTGCATTGTTGGGAAGGGCCCGTAAGTAAGCATTTCACTGTTAGTTTACACCTGTTGTTTAGGATGCATGTGACAAATAACATTTGATTTGAATTAAGACAGCATGCCCAGCTTCAGCAGTGGAAGGGGAAACACTGCCACATGGCTATTGACATATCTGCCTGTCTTTCATGTTAAGACAAGATGTGTGGGGTGTTTGTTCATGCAAGGATCTGGGATAGACTAGGCATTTACATTTTAGTCATTTAGCAGACGCTCTTATCCAGAGCGACTTACAGTTAGTGAGTGCATACATTTTCATACTGGCCCCCCGTGGGAAACAAACCCACAACCCTGGTGTTGCAAGCGCCATGCTCTACCAACTGAGCTACAGGGGACTACTAGGCCTGTCTGTATGTTCTCAGAGTAAAACTGAGATTGAGAAAAATCTGTCAAATGGATACAATTGTCTATCTGCGTGTTTTAGTTAGATATAAGATATATACGTCTGTATCTATGTAATGTTTTTGCACCATGTACTTTCGGGACCACAATGGAAATAAGTCACTGACTTTATTTTGCTATCCCTGTTACGTTTTGAAAATGAATGTAGTGTGTATGTATTTTGTTTAACTGGCTAATAAAAACAATCAATCAAATTACATTATCCGAAAAGGTGTACTCGAAGAATGTTCGAATATCCCTGACACAAAAAGTACAGGTACCTGCGAGAAGTCAACCAACGCGTGCAAGTCAGGTACTAAAGAACCGCATCCCATCGCCGCTAGAGGGCGACTGTAGGTTGACTGTTGTGGAATACACCATGCACTTATATGAAGCAAAACAGTAAATATTTTACTTTTGAAAACTAAATATCAAATAATAAATGCACAAGCACTCCTGCATGGATTAGCCTAGAACACAAGTATTGACAAACACCGTGAGAGACGTGTCAAATACAAGTTAAAAGAACAAGTTCAGCTTTTCCTTGTTTTAACAGTATCTTATTAAATCGGTTGTTTGCATTGCCGCGGACAACAGAGATGGTAGAATAATCAATTGTTTTAAAGAAAACAATGTGTTCTGCACAGAAAGGTCGAATTTACGTGTGTTTTAATCAAACTATGATCACGATATAACGTTTTCGCCTCGACGCTGGTTCAACACTATATTTTGGTCAAATAAATGATTTGTTTGACTGAAATAAACGAATGGGAAGTAAACAATCAAGTGTGCTGTTCGACAGCTGTCAGTTTACGTTCCCAAGTTTAAACCTCGAATTTATTCGACCATAAATAAAGTGTTCGTGCGCCCATGATTAGCATTCGTCTTATACAAAATGGCGGAGCATAGGAAGAGGCCACCAACACGTTAAAACTATGTAAATGACTCAAGTTATTTATTAAAACACATAATGCATAGACTTGTCTGTCAAATAAAACCAAATATATACCCTGCAATTTCATATGTTAGTGTTTTCCCTCATCATGGCCATTTTCTTTACTTTCCCCTTGTCTCGGAATGTCAGCCAGCTAGCTGCCAGCTAGCTTGCTAACTGCTTCTGGCTAGCAAAGCGTCACTACGGTTCAATTCAAACGGGTAGCTAGACGGCTAGGAACTGGGACTAGCATTGTGGCTTGGTGTAGCGAAGTAAGGACAACCAGTAATAAATAAGTTTCCAGGTTTTGAACGTTAGAAAATGCTTAGGAACGGACTTCTACAATAGTTGGAATAAATAAATAAATAACCGCCCATACACTGCGTTATTTGTTCAAGGCTAAACTATAGAATTGCTTGTTTTTAATTTCTTCAATAGAAACTTGACTCTCCGATTTATCTTTACGGTTTTAAATCACAGTACAAATAATAAGAACCCGTGCAAACTATAAAACGAACGATGCTTTACCGATTACTGTTGTTATTTGCAACATGTAATGTATAACGGCGATTATATTGTTAGAAAATTATGGAACTCACCTCGTTTCTGTTTTAACTCTTATTTTGAGCTGGATAGTGGATGCAACACGCATGCGCTCAATGAACGCTGCCTGACAACTTTGGATCTCGGTAAACTTGAGCACACAACTATTGATGGTCGATAGGTACAGCAAGACGGACGCTTAGAGTGGACATATAGTTTATTAAATATTGTATTCATGCCTTGGGACTAGTCTTTCTCCCTCGTGTATTTTCAGAATCTCAGAGAGCATCAAATCGGAGCGCAGGGGCGTGCAGCGTCTGTTTGGCGTGGCGCGCGATTTCCATTGTGGTCATGTCACTGTATGCCGTCAATAACTGTTTACGTCACCACCAGTCAATATTGGCCCCATATGTTAAAAGAAAGTTGACAGTAGACTAATCATAAACCCAACTTCTAGCTGTTTTATGAACGTGGCCACACTTCCTACCAGTAATTCAGCTAAAAAGTAAGAGCGGTCAAGCCTAGACGCCAAATAGACCTACAGTAGTTAGACCGTAGTATTGATTCCAACAAGGCCTATAGGCTATCAGCTCTTATCGGATTTAAATTGTAAAACATGATGCCTTTTCATGTTTGTTATCCATGCCCAATCAGACCAGACGTCCGGAATAGAAGCTCTCTGACTTTGCTATTTTAAGGGTTAATTAATAAGACATTCCTACTGTTCTTATTACAAGTGAAATGTTGGACTGGAGAGCCTACTGTAGTCTATTTGGCATTATGAAATGCAGGCCTTCAATGGGAGTGTGTCGCCTATAAATAAGCCTGCTGTTTCCTGTCGCTACCGCTAGATGACAGTATAATGCTGTTTTCTGACGGATTACAGTGTAACATCTCAGTTTCCCAGTCACAAACATTTTTCCCAACATCAGAAGAACGACAGATGCAAACCATGAGATGGCCTTCAGGGATAAAGTGGCCGACACGAGGGTAAGAGGACTGTTTACTCTGATTTGACACAGAAAAATCTGATTATGTGCCATCCGGGCAGCCGTGGGTCAGATATGGACGCTGTTATAATAAAATACGAAATCATCAGTTGTCGTTGTTGGCGACTATAAAGCAAAAGATATCAGCCTATCATTCCTATTCAGCGACTGATATTTAATTTATCGTGAATGGCAAATGCAACAGATGATGATCACTCAGTCTGTGCAAATGAAGGTATTCTGTCCTTTGCTGCTCCCCCGCAGTGCGCATCCCCTGCAGAGCCTGTTGGAGTTCTGCCATGGGAGCTTTTACACCTGCTAAATGATCCACGGTTCAGTTGACAGTGCTGTCACGGCTTTGCTACTTTGTCTGGGCGGCTGATTTGAGTATAGCCTAGGTCTATGATATGTGATATATTACTCTCTCTTTCTCTCGATCTCTCTCCCTCAGACCGTGCTTGTGCACCTGCTGCTGTGCCTCGTCATATTCTACTCTCTCTACTACATGATTGGGAGTGTGTGTTTCGGCGCGTTCAGGTGCGACACTTTTCTTTTCCTCTCTCTGCGTGCACGTGTGGTTATTGGGTAAGTGACCTTGCTGGAACGGTGAGCCATCCTCACGCGGCTTCTATAAACCTGGTGCCAGGTGACAGAAGAGAGGGGGAGAGATTTGTGGAATCCACAGCATCTATTGGTCTGTTTTCATTGATTGGAATGACAGTCAGTTTCAACCACCCTGGTTCCATCCTAGCTCCTCCTTTTTAATATCCTATTGTTTGTTTGTTTTATCTGCTGTTTATCTGTTTGCATTCAGGTTGGATCACTTCGATGGACTTATTCCCTTTGACTTTAAGACTGAACCAACCAATTTGGAGTCCAACTCCAAATACCTGGGTGAGCGAAGATGTGTATGGTAGTGTTTGTGTGTCAGCAGGTAGCCTAGCAGTTAAGAGCATTGTGCCAGTAACCGAAAGGTCACTGGTTCGAATCCCTGAGCTGACTAGGTGAAAAATTGGTCGATTTGAGCAAGGCACTTAACCCTAATTGCTCATGTAAGTCGCTCTGGATAAAAGCGTCTGCTAAATGCCTAAAAGTTTTTTTTTAATGGTGTCTGCGCGTGCGCATGTCCTCTACAAATGGTTAATGACTTATACTGTTGTTCCAGTGAACCTGCTGTCCATGGAGTTGACCTATTTCTGCAGTGGTCTGCTGTTTGCTGCTGTGGTGAGGAGATGGGTCTGGGACTATGCTCTCACCGTCACACTACTGCACGTACTGCTCACCAGCCTGGGTGAGGCACACACACATGCCTGAACTCACTCACACACACACACACACACAGAGAAATGCATACACATGCCTGAACTCACTCACACACACACACACACTGGCTTAACTCAGAATAATCTCTCGCTGGCAGAGCTGAGTGCTCAGGGCCAGCTTTGATGACATCATCACAGGACGGGAAGTGGGGTTAGAGTTGAGAAGCAGTTGGGCCCAAAACAAGGCACATATATTGACCCTATCCCTTGGTCTTCTTTAATTCCCCTTCGTCATGTGTAAGGATTGGATTGGATAGGTCTAGCTCTAAAGCAATACGATGTACACTTCACTTACCTTAGTTCTGTGTGGTATATTACCTGTTTGTAATGTGTGTTTGTAATGTGTGTTTGTAATGTGTGTTTGTACTGTGTGTTTGTAATGTGTGTGTTTCAGTGATGCTGGAGTTTCCCTTGGTATGGCAGTGGTGGCTGGCCCTTGGTAAGATCTACCTCACCCTCACTTCACCTCACCCACAGAAACCTTCTGAGGAGTTATAGACTAGTAATTGATTATGTCTCTTCTTTATTAATGGTTTTGTGTGTGTGTGTGTGTGTGGTTGTGTGTTTTGTTTGAAGGCAGCGGGTTGTTTCTGATGATCTGCAACGGTCAGCTGATAGCTTACTTCACCTGCCAGAGTGACCAGAGTTACCCAACCTTCAATAGCTACTGAGTACACACACACACACACACACACACTGACCAGAGTTCTTTGCGGTGAGTCAGGTGGAAAATGGAGGGAAACCAAATGTTCCTGTTGCCTTGGTTACCTGTTTGATTGTTGCACTTCGTTTCTGTTATTTCTGTATTATATTTCTATGGACCGGTTTCCCAGACACCAATTAAGCCAAGTGATTCTCCACTGAGCAAGCTTTTGAGTCCAGGAAACCGCTCTTATATGTAATATCTGTGTTCTGTATGAATGTTAATCATGTCATTTATTATCTTAGACCTATTAAACCAGCTGTAACCTCACATACCTGGACTGGCTACACACACACACACACACACACACACCTGTTTTACCATCCTTGTGGGGACCAAACAATCGATTCCCATTCAAAATTATATTTTCCCTAACCATAAATCTAACCCTAACCTTAACCCTAACCCTTAAACCCAACCCCAAACCCTAATTCTAACCCTAAAATAGCCTTTTTCGTGGTGGGGACAGGCGAAATGTCCCAAATCTTTCTGAATTTTCCTTGTTTTAATATCCTTGTGAGGACTTCTGGACACACACACACATGCCCTAACCACAACCCTTACCCTAGCACCTCAACCCTAGCTCTAATCTTATGTTGTTTTTAAAATATATATTTGTTGTATTCTATTGTTTTATGGACAGTGATAGTACCACTGATAGTTGGAGTGTAGAGGGGAGACAGATACAGAACAAGACAGGGAGGAAGGGCTGAGACGGGATTCGTACCCACGTCGTCAGGGGTGTATGTGTTCCATAGTCTGAGGGGTTACCACTAGGCCAGACTCTGACATCTTATAGTCAACCCTAACCCTAACCTTGGTTTATCCTACTTTTCTCTTTGGACCCATAAGGTGCTGAAGATTGGCTCCGCCTGGTTCTCCCTTTGACACAAGGTGCAAGGAGGCCGACTCCAGGTAGCTCCAGCTCAATTTAACCACTGGTTCTAACCCTGCCTGAGCCTCAGTTCTCTGTGAGACATAAAACATCTGATACATGATAGGAAAATGCACTTTAATTGATTGAAAACACAAATAATAGCAGAATGAAATCAGGGCTCCGTGACTCCAACTTCAGCCGAAGGCATATAGGAGAACCCTGGGAAGGCTCCATTGGCCGACATGTCACTCAAACCCAGGGAGGCGGGGACTGGAAGAAGCGTGAACTCAGCGTCAAAATACCGCACATCACACGGACCAGACTGAAAGAGAGAGGGGGGGAACGAGTGATCAGACACACATTCAGGTAGACACAGATCCTGCCCAAAGTCAAACTGACCCATAGCCCCCATAAAACACACTCACACACTCTCTCTCACACACACACACACACACACACACACACACACACACACACACTCACCAGGTTGGGAATGAATGGGGGAGGGACTTTCCTGGCTAGCAGGTCATCCCAGTTGATGGACAGGAAGAAGGAGTGGCCCTGCAGCTCGGCCTACAAACAAAGTGAGACAACACAGCATTAATATAATTTGTAAGTCGCTCTAGATAAGAGCGTCTGCTAAATGATTAAATGTAAATGTATGGGTGCATGTGTGTGTGTGGTCTTGCATGTACAGTGCATTCGGAAAGTATTCAGACCCCTTCCCTTTTTCCACATTTTGTTACGTTACAGCCTTATTCTAAAATGGATTAAATATATATTTTTCGTCATCAATCTACACACAATACCCCATAATGACAAAGCGAAAAACAGGTTTTTAGAAATTTTTGCAAATGTATTAAAGATACAAACTTATTTACATAAGTATTCAGACCCTTTGCTATGAGACTCGAAATTGAGCTCAGGTGCATCCTGTTTCCATTGATCATCCTTGAGATGTTTCTACAACTTGATTGGAAGTCCACCTGTGGTAAATTCAATTGATTGGACATGATTTGGAAAGGCACACACCTGTCTATAAAAGGTCCCACAGTTGACAGTGCATGTCAGAGCAAAAACCAAGCCATGAGGTTTTGTCAATAGAGCTCAGAGACAGGATTGTGTCAAGGCACAGATCTGGGGAAGGGTACCAAAAATGTTCTGCAGCATTGAAGGTCCCCAACAACACAGTGGCCTCCATCATTCTTAAATGGAAGACGTTTGGAACCACCAAGACTCTTCCAAGAGCTCTTCCCAGCCAAACAGAGCAATCGGGGGAGAAGGGCCTTGGTCAGGGAGGTGACCAAGAACCTGATGGTCACTCTGACAGCGCTCCAGAGTTCCTCTGTGGAAATGGGAGAACCTTCCAGAAGGACAACCATCTCTGCGGCACTCCACCAATCAGGCCTTTATGGTAGAGTGAACAGACGGAAGCCACTCCTCAGTAAAAGGCACATGACAGCCCACTTGGAGTTTGCCAAAAGGCACCTAAAGGACTCTCAGACCATGAGAAACAAGATTCTCTGGTCTGATGAAACCAAGATTGAACTCTTTGGCCTGAATGCCAAGCGTCACGTCTGGAAGAAACCTGGCACCATCCCTACGGTGAAGCATGGTGGTGGCAGCATCATGCTGTGGGGGATGTTTTTCAGCGGCAGGGACTGGGAGACTAGTCAGGATCGAGGGAAAGATGAACGGAGCAAAGTACAGAGATATCCTTGATGAAAACCTGCTCCAGAGCACTCAGGACCTCAGACTGGGGCGAAGGTTTACCTTCCAACAGGACAACGACCCTAAGCACACTGCCAAGACAACGCAGGAGTGGCTTCGGGACAAGTCTCTGAATGTCCTTGAATGGCCCAGCCAGAGCCCGGACTTGAACCCAATCAAACATCTCTGGAGAGACCTGAAAATAGCTGTGCAGCGACGCTCCCCATCCAACCTGACAGAGCTTGAGAGGATCTGCAAAGAAGAATGGGAGAAACTCCCCAAATACAGGTGTGCCAAGCTTGTAGCGTCATACCCTAGAAGACTTCAGGCTGTAATCGCTGCCAAAGGTGCTTCAACAAAGTACTGAAGAAAGGGTCTGAATACTTATGTAAATGTAATATTTCCATTTTTTAATTTTTAATACATTTGCAAAAAAATCTAAAAACCCTGTTTTTGCTTTGTCATTATGGGGTATTGTGTGTAGATTAATGAGGGGGAAAAAACAATTTAATCAATTTTAGAATAAGGCTGTAACGTAACAAAATGTGGAAAAAGTCAAGGGGTCTGAAGACTTTCCAAATGCACTGTATGCGTCAACACTCTGTGCCAGGTGGGGTAATGAGGGTGCTTACAAGGTCATGTTCCCCCCCAAGGCGTTTGTTAAAGTCCTTCTCCAGCAGGCCCTGCAGCAGAGACCGGGCAGACTGGGACACACTTCTACGGAGCTGCAGGGGGGCGTGAAGGATGTTCTCAAACATCTCAGCCTTACTGTGACTGTAGAACGGGGGCTGAGGAAGAGAGAGAGAGAGAGAGAGAGAGAGAGGAGGAAGGGGAGAGAGGAGAGAGGAGAGAGGGAGAGAGGAGAGAGGAGAGAGGAGAGAGGGAGAGAGGAGAGAGGAGAGAGGGAGCCAGATAAGTGTGCAGTGATGGAATATGCTAGTTGCAAAGTAGCTGAAACATACAGAGAAACACCCTCACCAGTCCATGAAGCATCTCATAAAGCACACTCCCCAGCCCCCACCAGTCCACGGCTGCACTGTAGGCGTGGCCTAACAGCACCTCTGGCGCCAGATACTCTGGGGTTCCACAGAACGTTTGCATAGTTCCACCCACAGACACGCCCTCTTTACACAGCCCGAAATCCGTCACAACCACATGTCCTCCACTGTCCAATAGGATGTTCTCTGGCTTCAGGTCTCTAAGGGGGGGTACCGAGAGTTAAATCACTGTGAGAAAAACGCTCTCTCTCTCAGTGTGTGTGTGTGTGTGTGCGCGCACCTGTAGACTATGTTGAGGGAGTGGAGGTAGCCCAGGGCTGAGGCCATCTCAGCAGAGTAGAATGTTGCTCTGGGCTCCGGGAAGGCACCCTCCCTCTGGAGATGGTAGAACAAGTCTCCTCCATTGATGTAGTCCAGTACGAAGTAGAGAGTGTGAGAGGTCTGGAAGGAGAAGTGGAGCCCCACCAGGAACGGATGCTGCAGTCCCTTCAGCAGCACACTCCTCTCTACCATCACATGTCTCTGCTGGAAGGAGAGAGAGAGACAGAGGGATAGAAAGAATGGAATGGAAATAGAACAGAATGGAATGGAAATAGAACGGAATGGAATGGAAATAGAACAGAATGGAATGGAAATAGAACATAATGGAATGGAAATAGAACAGAATGGAATGGAAATAGAACAGAATGGAATGGAAATAGAACAGAATGGAATGGAAATAGAACAGAATGGAATGGAATTAAAACAGAATGGAATGGAAATAGAACAGAATGGAATGGAAATAGAACAGAATGGAATGGAAATAGAACAGAATGGAATGGAAATAGAACAGAATGGAATGGAAATAGAACAGAATGGAATGGAAATAGAATAGAATGGAATGGAAATAGAACAGAATGGAATGGAAATAGAACAGAATGGAATGGAAATAGAATGGAAATAGAATGGAATGGAAATAGAACAGAATGGAATGGAAATAGAACAGAATGGAATGGAAATAGAATGGAATGGAATGGAAATAGAACAGAATGGAATGGAAATAGAATGGAATGGAATGGAAATAGAACAGAATGGAATGGAAATAGAACAGAATGATAGATACCTCTTTCTTCCTCAATATGACCTGTTTCTGTAGAACCTTGACAGCGTAGAAACTTCCACTCTGTCTGTGTCTCGCTAACACCACCTGCAACAAGATAAATACATCACCAACACAAAAACACACACTGGCCTACTCATACACACACACACTTGCTCCCACCTTCCCAAAGCTTCCTTTGCCGATGACCTTCAGGTAGTGGAAATCAGAAGGCTTCACCCTGGTAAACATGACAACAGAGAAGCATGAGTGACAGGTCTGATGATTTCCACTGGTTAAGGGCAACTCGAGGAAAAACTCCTGGCCATAAGTATGGGTACTCACTGAGTCTCATTCTCCAGCAAACTTGGCAGACACTGATAGAGAGAAAAGGGAGGGGGAGGGGAGGGGGGGGGGGGGGGGCAGGGTTAGATTTGGGTCAGACAGAGATTATATACTGTAGATGGGTCCTAGGTCACCTGGCTGTATGCCTATAAATACTCACCGATGTTCCCCCCTCGCTCTCCTCTCTTCTCTCTCCTCCCTGTCTTCTCTCTCCTCCCTGTCTTCTCTCTCCTCCCTGTCTTCTCTCTCCTCCCTGTCTTCTCTCTCCTCCCTGTCTTCTCTCTCCTCCCTGTCTTCTCTCGCCTCCCTGTCTTCTCTCTCCTCCCTGTCTTCTCTCTCCTCTTCTCTCTCCTCTTCTCTCTCCTCTTCTCTCTCCTCTCTCAGGCTCTCCTGCAGCAGGATGGTCTGGGTGTCCAGGCTTTACAGAGACAACATGGACAGTGTTAGGCCTATGTGTGTCTCTGTGTTAATTATAACATAATACATTATGTTATATCATCAACATGGAGTACAATCATTACTACAATATGAAGGAAGTTGTGACTTACTGCTGAAAGATTTGGTGGTCGGACACCAGTTTGTGAATGAAGTTGCTGAAGCCCCCTTTCTTCCCTTCAAGCAGAGCTGAAACACAGGAGAGGGTTCTTACATAAGACTATGTCAGTATCAATATCAGTAGGTTCTCAAAGTGTCAATATAACTAACCTCACTATAAAGGACAATCTAATGAAAAACATGATGTAAGACATCAAGGGCGTCATACATGCAAGTCAATGACATTAACAATGTGTTATACACTATACACTACCAGTCAAAGGTTTGGACACACCTACTCATTCAAGGGTTTTTCTTTATTTTTACTATTTTTTACATTGTAGAATAATAGTAAAGACATCAAAACTTTGTAATAACACATATGGAATCTATATATATATTTGAGATTTGAGATTCTTCAAATAGCCACCCTTTGCCTTGAAGAAAGCTTTGCACACTCTTGGCATTCTCTCAACCAGCTTCATGAGGTAGTCACCTGGAATGCATTTTCAATTAACAGGTGTGCCTTCTTAAAAGTTAATTTGTGGAATTAATTTCCTTCTTGATGCGTTTGAGCCAATCAGTTGTGTTGTGACAAGGAAGGGGGGGTATACAGAAGATAGCCCTATTTGGTAAAATACCAAGTCCATATTATGGCAAGAACAGCTCAAATAAGCAAAGAGAAACAACAGTCCATCATTACTTTAAGACATGAAGGTCAGTCAATCTGGAACATTTCAAGAACTTTGAAAGTTTCTTCAAGTGCAGTCGCAAAAACCATCAAGCGTTATGATGAAACTGGCTCTCATGAGGACCGCCACAGGAATGGAAGACCCAGAGTTACCTTTGCTGCAGAGGATAAGTTCATTAGAGTTACCAGCCTCAGAAATTGCAGCCCAAATAAATGCTTCACAGAGTTCAAGTAACAGACACATCTCAACATCAATTGTTCAGAGGGGACTGTGTGAATCAGGCCTTCATGGTCGAATTGCTGCAAAGAAACCACTACTAAAGGACACCAATAATAAGAAGAGACCTGCTTGGGCCAAGAAACACGAGCAATGGACATTAGACCGGTGGAAATTTGTCCTTTGGTCTGGAGTCCAAATTTGAGATTTTTGGTTCAAACCGCCATGTCTTTGTGAGACGTGGTGTGGGTGAACGGATGTTCTCCGCATGTGTAGTTCCCACCGTAAAGCGTGGAGGAGGAGGTGTTATGGTGTGGGGGTACTTTGCTGGTGACACTGTCTGTGATTTATTTAGAATTTAACGCATACTTAACCAGCATGGCTACCACAGCATTCTGCAGCGATACGCCATCCATCTGGTTTGGGATTAGTGGGACTATCATTTGTTTTTCAACAGGACAATGACCCAACACACCTCCAGGCTGTGTAAGGGCTATTTTACCAAGAAGGAGAGTGATGGAGTGCTGCATCAGATGACCTGGCCTCCACAATCCCCTGACCTCAACCCAATTGAGATGGTTTGGGATGAGTCGGATGGCAGAGTGAAGGAAAAGCAGCCAACAAGTGCTCAGCATATGTGGGAACTCCTTCAAGACTGTTGGAAAAGCATTCCAGGTGAAGCTGGTTGAGAGAATGCCAAGAGTGTGCAAAGCTGTCATCAAGGCAAAGGGTGGCTATTTGAAGAATCTCAAATAAATATATTATGATTTGTTTAACACTTTTTTGGTTCCTACATGATTCCATATGTGTTATTTCATAGTTCTGATGTCTTCACTATTATTCTACAATGTAAAAAATAGTAAAAATAAAGAAAAACCCTTGAATGAGTAGGTGTGTCCAAACCTTTGACTGGTACTGTATATACAAAAGTATGTGGACACCCCTTCAAATTAGTGGATTCGGCTATTTCAGCCACACCCGTTGCTGACAGGTGTATAAAATCGAGCACACAGTCATGCAATCTCCATAGACAAACATTGGCAGTAGAATGGCCTTACTGAAGAGCTCAGTGACTTTCAACGTGGCACCGTCATAGGATGCCACCTTTCCAACAAGTCAGTTCGTCAAATTTCTGCCCTGCTAGAGCTGCCCGGTCAACTGTAAGTGCTGTTATTGTGAAGTGGAAACATCTAGGAGCAACAACGGCTCAGCCGCGAAGTGGTAGGCCACACAAGCTCACAGAACGGGACCACCGAGTGCTGAAGTGCGTAGCGCGTAAAAATCATATGTCCTTGGTTGCAACACTCACTACAGAGTTCCAAACTGCCTCTGGAAGCAACGTCAGCACAATAACTGTTAGTCGGGAGCTTCATGAAATGGGTTTCCATGGCCGAGCAGCCGCACACAAGCCTAAGATCACCATGCGCAATGTCAAGCGTCGGCTGGAGTGGTGTAAAACTCGCCACCATTTGACTCTGGAGCAGTGGAAACGCATTCTCTGGAGTGATGAATCACGCTTCACCATCTGGCAGTGCGACGGACTAATCTGGGTTTGGCAGATGCCAGGGGAACGCTACCTTCCCAATGCATAGTGACAACTGTAAAGTTTGGTGGAGGAGGAATAATGGTCTGGGGCTGTTTTTCATGGTTCGGGCTAGGCCCCTTAGCTCTAGTGAAGGGAAATCTTAACGCTACAGCATACAATGACATTCTAGACAATTCTGTGCTTCCAACTTTGTGGCAACAGTTTGGGGAAAGCCCTATTCCTGTTTCAGCATGATAATGCCCCCGTGCACAAAGTGAGGTCCATACAGTAATGGTATGTCGAGATCGGTGTGGAAGAACTTGACTGGCCTGAACAGAGCCCTGACCTCAACCCCATCGAACACCTTTGGGATGAATTAGAACGCTGACTGCAAGCCAGGCCTAATCGCCCAACATCAGTGCCCGACCTCACTAATGCTCTTGTGGCTGAATGGAAGCAAGTCCCAGCAGCAATGTTCCAACATCTAGTGGAAAGCCTTCCCAGAAAAGTGGAGGCTGTTATAGCAGCAAAGGGGGGATCAACTCCATATTAATGCCGATGATTTTGGAATTAGATGTTCGAGAAGCAGGTGTCCACATACTTTGGTAATATAGTGTAACTGTTATTGACAATACGTTATAGACAATGCGTTATAACCCAATAATAACGCATTATAGCAGTTGGCGAGAAAAGGTGTTAGGCCACCGAGCATTTAAACACTAGAATCTGAAAACACATAGTTGTAACTACATTAATAGAATCCCACAGAATGTCAAACTTACCAGTAAAAAATGACACAAGCCCTTTCATTTTGGCATAGGACATTCTGTGCCTTGGCTGCGTAACTCCCATCTGGATGAAATAATAAAGTCCGGTAAAAGGAGTGAACAAACTGCGAGAGAAGAAATAAAGGCTGGTAGGGGTCCGAGATGTTCTTCAACTCCGGTGGCTGCGGTCTGAACCGGTTGAGAGTTCAGCACCACTGACAGCACGCGCTCGGCAGGCAGGCTATTTACAACAACCCCACGCGCTCTCCCGTCAAAAGACCTCTCTGACGTAGGCCTAATTGAATCCAAGGCACCACCATAGGCTACATTATTGTGTGGGCATTGGGCTCAAGTCACTCATCTACGAAATCCTGAACGGGCTCCCGCGCGCCCCGGGTGTAGTGTCGAATCAATGCTCTTATCAATGGAAAACCCTTCTGAAATGTTCTACGAGCTCTGTATGGACAGACACTGTGCTACTGCTTTGGGGAATGTGTGTGTGTGTGTTTGTGTAGTAGCTGCTTTGATTCCTCTAAAAGGCCCTATATCCTGATAAATGAACTCTGAATGCAGAACACACAGAGGGGAGATCAATACTGACCGATAGTTTCCACTGACCGTTCGGAAAGACAGACGAAATAGAGCAAAAGAGACAAGGAGAGACAAATACACATAATGAGTCACAGCAGGGGCTGTATGGTAAGAGTCAGACCATGCTATTTTCCAAACTAATGCAGGAAGGTCAGAGGTCATCTGCTTTGGTCCAGATACAGGTAAACTCTGTTCAGAGTCACTACAGAGTCCACCTGTCTGAGGAAAGGAAAGGGGGATACAGGGAAAGACTACTGTAGATTTACCACACCAACATTGACCTGATCTATGACCTCTGACATTTAACCTTCCTCTCATTGGACATTTAGAGAACACAGGCTTGCGCGCACACACACACACACACACACACACTCTGACAGGTCTGTATTCTGTGTGTGCCAAAGAGTGTATCAATATTACAACTAATCATGTAATTCATTACATAATATGAGTTTTTTCCCAAAACGCTATATATCCATTTTCAGAAATGTTGGTAAATTAGCTTTTATTGTTTAAAGAACTTATGAAAGATATTGGTGTTATTTCACTATCTAATTATGGCATGGGCTTCTTCAATGACAGACAAGTATTTGTTTGAAATCTAGCACTTGATAGTTTCATTTCATAGAGACAAATAATCATGTTTTTTTGCAAAATGCTATACATCCACCTCACTCTCAGAGAAATAAGTAGTACTGCTAGGTTTTACACAGTCAAATGTAACAAATAACTACATTTTTAATAAAGAACTGTACAAATGATACATTTGTGACATAAATATATATTTTTTATTTTATTTTTTATGAATCAATAAAGTAATATGAGATCTGAATGTAAAACATTTACATTTTACATTTGAGTAATTTAGCAGATGCTCTTATCCAGAGCGACTACAGTGCATTCATCTTAAGATAGTTAGGTGAGACAACCACATATCACAGTCAAATATACAGGATACCAACATTCCATTCCAGCTAAACAATGGATATATACTGTATAGCGTTTTGCAAATAAAACACATTTTAATACACACCTACAATCTATGAATAAAAAAAACTGAGAACAGTAATATTTTACACACACACGAAAAACCATGTGAAAAATGTATGGAGATAGCATTTTGGAAATAACCTCTTCATATGTAACCAGAGAGAGAACATTCTCCCGAATCAGACACCGTCTAGTCAATACGTTCACACCGTCCTAACGAGAAAGTACATACATGTTGCCCTAATGAAACAGACAAATGGGAACATGCACTGCTCCAACGAAGACAACACTGTCACGGTTTCAGCCG